TTGCTTGATTGACAATGCCAATCAAGAAAGGGAGGAGCTTGATGATATCGTTCTCTCCCAGTAAATTCCGATGTCAAATAACGAGGTTATTTGGACGGAAAAACGATGGTTTGAAAGCGTCCAAATAACGTCGTTTTTCCGTCCAATGACCATATACGGAAAAAACGACGTTTTTGTGTTTGCAGTGTAAGTGAGTGAAACAAAAGACACCAGTACAGGCACACCCAGTCCCCAAACTCCAAGTCTGCATGTATCAATGCTCATACCCGCCAAATCCTCAACCATTTACTTTACTTACACAATCATCTCACTACATGTTCGCCAACCCTCGTATCACAACGCACGCACGCGCACACACATCGCATTCGTCTTTCCCCTTTATCCCTACAACCATTTTATTGTGTCTACGTCAGCCATCATTAAAATATCGGAAATATTTTACAATATGTACATATCAAATATCAGCAAACAGAGAGTATTATAACGCAATAGATTTCATCCGTCAAAACATCACAGAAAGAAGGGCAGTCTGGAATTTTACAATGGCGTCAGAATGCACTAAGACGTTCAGCTGGTCAGGAGGTGAGAGCGGAAAATTACGATAAACTTCAGTTACAGATCTCCATTACGAATATCTAAAGTGTGAATAAAGATCACATCTTGCTATAAAGTGTACTTCATCCCTGCAGATTTCCTTACCTATAAAATTTATGTCTAAATGCTCATGTAGACAAAGACCCAAATGTTTATAGGCATGACCATGATTTCGTTAGAATGTAAGATATTCAGCCAAACGTTATGCAATAAAAGACGAATAGTTTTTTTCATTAAAATACGCGCACGCGTACCTGTATATTGCATACCTAGTGTCACGTAATTGTACAGTGTGATGTATCAACGGGACATAAAATGGGAAATGAAATAGAAACTAACTAAAATTTAATGTTGTGGAAAATAACTCCAACGAATTGGAGTACACGCACATGAATTCGTATGATAAACTGTCAAAACGTTTTGAGAGGTAAGGCCGGGTTCATTAAAGATCGCTACGATATGTAAAACAGGTGAAATTTGTAGAACTAAAGGAAACATCCAACCAAATGCCCTTTTTAAATAGTAATGTAATGATATAATATAATTTATATATCACATGATACAATATCCTTTGCAAACAGTTAGTTGATGCTTGAAAGGGACTGACGAAAACATAGGCGAAATATTTTAATAACGCCGTAAAATCGTTGAATTAAGTTAAAATGAGTTAAATTTTGTGTCATGATACTTCAATGAATACATTTAATGTATTTGCGAAACAAAATCATGAGTTTTAAGTAAAGGTACATGTATATATACTCGCCCATGGGCCAAACCTTTTTCTCGCCCATGGGCGAAATAATTCAATATCGCTATAAAATCGTTGAATTAAGTTAAAATGAGTTAAATTTTGTGTCATGATACTTGAATGAATACATTAAATGTATTTGCGAAACAAAAACATGAGTTTTAAGTAAAGGAACATATTCTCGCCCATGGGCCTGCCCATGGGCCTACCCATGGGCAAAACCTTTTTCTCGCCCATGGGCGAAATATTTCAATATCGCTATAAAATAGTTGAATGAAGGTAAAATGAGTTTAATTTTGTGTCATGATACTTCAATGAATACATTTAATGTATTTGCGAAACAAAAACATGAGTTTTAAGTAAAGGAACATATACTCGCACATGGGCCAAACCTTTTTCTCGCCCATGGGCGAAATATTTCAATATCGCTATAAAATAGTTGAATTAAGTTAAAATGAGTTAAATTTTGTGTCATGATACTTCAATAAATACATTTAATGTATTTGCGAAACAAAATCATGAGTTTTAAGTAAAGGAACATATTCTCGCACATGGGCCAAACCTTTTTCTCGCCCATGGGCGAAATATTTCAATATCGCTATAAAATAGTTGAATTAAGTAAAAATTAGTTAAATTTTGTGTCATGATACTTGAACGAATACATTAAATGTATTTACGAAACAAAAAAATGAGTTTTAAGTAAAGGAACATATTCTTGCCCATGGGCCTACCCATGGGACACACTTCGCCCATGGGCAGGCCCATGGGCGACATAGTCTAAATATTGAGTTTATAAACAATTTTTTTTCCATTTTTTCTTCCTTGGTATGTTCCCATGAAAACGGCATGTTTAATTTTGTAAATACCTTTAAGCGAGACTGGGCAAAGACCGTAGAGTTTCTGGACTTTTGGGTTTCCAGAATTAAAATGGGACGTGTTATATTATATTCCACGCAAATATCTCCACATTTAAAAACAAAGCTAGATTGAGGCTTTGAGTGAGTGAGTGAGTGAGTGAGTGAGTGAGTATGGTTTTACGCCGCTTTTAGCAATATTCCAGCAATATCACCCATGTCGGGAACCGAACCCGGGTCTTCAGCGTGACGAGCGAACGCTTTAACCACCAGGCTACCCGACCGCCCCTTGATGCTTTGAAGGCATTAGGAAGTGCTACACACAAGGAAGAAAATGTATGGATGTCAACGTCTTTATTATGAGGAACACAACGTTTCGGAGTATATACTTACTCCTTCATCAGGCGAATTAACGCTTTGAGGCAGAGAACATATATATGTACCTGTAAGAACAACAAAAGTAAAAAGAGAGCAAAGGAGGAAGCGTAACAAGGGAAGCCAACAGGTAATTGGCTAATTGCCCCGGCCTCCCGTTTGCCCATTGTCCATTGCCCATTACCAGTAATTCATAAGATAAGTTTTGGCTTTAATTTGTCCATTGATAATCAACCATCAACGTCTATTATCTCAACCCTAAAAAGTACGAGAATCTGTACTTTACTGAGAAATTGTTATTCAAATATAACATTTGGTACATTTGACCACGTCCTTAATGGCATTGTGTGTTCAAAGCTTTCGGCCATGGGAGCCGAGCCATTTTTCATTTGTCAGAGGGGTACACAAAGTACGTGATCTTGACTAACAATTGTCTGACTTTTAGTTTTGGTGGAAGCATCGGTGGCTGGGTTAGATCGCTGACTTTGTGTGCAGGTGATTGGGTGTCTCACTCACAGTGTAGGTTCAAATCCCGGACGGGACTCAGCCCAAATACGTACGAGCATCTCTACTTAACTAATAAAGTGTTATCACAGTCGTCAGTCGTCTGATGAGGTCACGTGGGATTTGACGCCAGTCTTCTTGGAGGGCCAAGATCAGTTCTTGCCGGTTGGCTGGAGAGTGTGGTCGTTGTCGAACACGACGATCCATCAAGTCCCAGAGGTGTTCTATGGGGGACGTTGTTGGCTGCGAGGAAGTTAGTGACAATTCTGGCTGAATGGGCTCTAGCGTTGTCATGCTGATAAATGACACCATGTGGCTGCTGTTGGAGAACTGGTAGGACAACTGGACAACTTGACAGCTCAGCGTCACATGGACAACATTCTTCGTCCAGTTGTCCTACCATTTCTTCAACAGCAGCCACGTGGTGTCATTTATCAGAGCCCATACAGCCAGAATTGTCACTAACTTCCTCGCAGCCAACAACGTCAACGACCTGCCGTGGCCTGCACGCTCACCCGACATGTCCCCCATAGAACACCTCTGGGACTTGATGGATCGTCGTGTTCGACAACGACCACACTCTCCAGACAACCGGCAAGAACTGATCTTGGCCCTCCAAGAAGAATGGCGTCAAATCCCACGTGGCCTTAATCAGACGACTGACTTTTTCTGTGCGTCGAAGAGTTTTTGCGTGTATTGAGGCATTTGGTGGTCACACACGCTACTAATGACTTGTTATTGAACGTGAGCGATTGTTTATGTACTCTGCCTGTTGTCCATGATTCTGAAAGCTCAAGTTTTGTACCACACCCAACTTTCGGGGGCTCTGACGTCATTCTCGGTCACGGTATGATTGTCATTTTCAGTGTTGATTATGTTGATATATTGATCTTCTCAATACACTTTACTTCATGCATGTGTGTTTTGTTGTTTTTGAGCAAGAGTGATTTCAAACTCTGGTAAAAGTTTCTTTTGGACGTCAGTGCCATGTACAAATTAGAAAGTGGAATCCCGTCAATAAGGCGGACGAACCTTAAAACTACATGTATTAATAAATATTAAAATAAGCAATATCGGAAAAATGTATATGCATATAATATCTGGCAATAAACAACAAGTTCACCTTCTACACATGTAAGTTTTAAAAGCCGGTTGATATCCGTTTGCGTATTTGACGATTATATAACTTTCGAAAGTATAAAATAATTAATCCTTTTCCTATTCTCAGACGTTCCTGAGCCTTGCGCTTTCCTAATTATTTTTACTCAAATTATTACCGTTATCATTGTATTAGTTATTGGGAAACGCGTGCCGATCAAGTACGTGCCATAAATTAACGCGACATTGTACGATTCCGACCTTTTCACGAGACTGTGTTTATGAATCACTGTCAAATAGTGGTGACATTAAACCTAAAAGACAATTCGCAAAATCGCGCATGCACGAAACGGAAAATATGGACAAGGCATTTAACAATCCGAATACGCAGAACGCACTTCCGCCAAGCGCTACGAGTGCAGCGTCAAACTCCGGCCTGTAATCTAACGCGCGAGAACTGACCAATGAAATCTAAGATGTAGAAATACCGGTAGAGGCTGTTGCTTGATTGACAATGTCAATCAAGACAGGGAGGAGCTTGATGATATCGTTGTCTCCCAATAAATTCTGATGTCAAATAACGACGTTATTTGGATGGAAAAACGATGGTGTGAAAGCGTCTAAAAACGTCGTTTTCCCGTCCAATGACCATATAAGAAAAAAACCGACGTTTTCGTGTTTGCGGTGTGATGACAGTCACTGGATTGTCTGGTCCAGATTCGACTGATTACAGACCGCCGTCATAGAGCTGGAATATTGCTGAGTGCGGCGTTAAAAAACAAACACACACATACATACATTATTATAATATTTACTTCTTTACTCACCAACACCCACCAGCATCAACAACGTATGCATCAACATATTGTCCAACCACTTAAAACCTAAAATAGAAAAAAAATATATCGTTATTCCTGTCCCTACCAGACTATAAGTGGTGCGAAAGTGATCGTGAGCGGCTGAATTTGAGTTTAGTTATATCAGTGAGTGTGTATTCCAGTTATATCACAGGGTGACAGCTGAATGTGGGAGGGGAGCCCGAAGTGATGCAGATCTCAGACGTTTATCACTTCGGTGAAACCCACGAGCACGGGCATTGTGCTGACAAACCCAGAAACATAATCGGGGCGAACCCAAGATCATAGGTTTCTGGCGTGCCCAAGGGACGCAACTCTACGACTGGGCCATCCTTGCCCCCTAGTTATATCATGGCGCGTCAGCAAAATCTGGGAAGAAGGGCGAAGTGTTAGACGTTTATCACTTTGATGAAACTCAGGAGATCTGGCATGGTTCACCCAAATTAAGAGGCATAATCAGGGCAAATGGAATTCGATCACACTTTCATAGTTTTCTGGTTAGCTTAAGGGTCGCACATCTGCACAGCTAATTGCGAGGCCACAGGCAACTGAGTCCCTTAGCCCCTTTTGATATTGTGAAGACCTCTAGAAGTGATAGAAGCTGGCTGAGTGTGGTGCAAGCATGAACTGTCTGTTGGGGGGTTTCTGCTCATGATCAAGAACAGTGATGTTTCCTCCCATGGCAGAACCCCCGGCCAAAGGGTCAATTCATTCGTCAACACTCGCCCCTTTCCGTAACCTGCAGGAAGACTCGTCTCCTTATCGTTGAATGTTATGTGCCAAAACACGACAAACCAATCAGAATGCACGTACGCTTTCAAGTTCCTCGTCACAGAATCCCTCAGAATTAATTTTTGATTTTACATACGTCTTGCATCTAAAAATATACCCAAGACACATTTAAATGTTTTCAATCATACTGTATAATTCCGTATGTCCCGATGTGCTTTTAATTGCATCTGAAATATAAATCATATAAGGGGAAATATAAGTGAACCATTACACAACGAGTTGACAATTGTTTTAGGTATGCCCGTTTGCGCTAAGACGGAGCCCAGTCGCAAAAATGGCCATGAGAGGGGCACGAGTCGCTATTCGGCTTGTCCCGGAATAACACGAGTTGTCACGAATGGGGTCAATTCTGACTCGATCGTTGACAGACGAGAAGCACGCCATGTATGTATTTGTAATCACTGAAAGCAGTACCTCACAATATTCATCAACATATCTATCCGCAACTGACACAAACGAATATCGTTTTTATCCGCTGACTTTTACCCTGTCGAGAAACGATAATCAACATTATAAATAACCATCTTTGCTTCTTTTCATAGTATTTAACCTTTGTGACTCGATTCAAGAATATCCCCTTGATTAAAGGAAATGTCCGTCATGTTGTTTGTACAATTTTGTGGAATATAATGTACACCATTAATACATGTTTGTTGGTACTGATAAGCTACACGCATGATGACATGTGACGTCCTGTAATTAGAATACTGTTATGTATGCTTACCTGGTAGAAAGGACAGACAGCACTAGCGGTGTAGTCTTCAACAACTCTAAATCACAACTTACCTCCTCGGAGTGAAATATATATTCAGGAATACCCTTAGATGTACCACGCGAATAATAGATCACGTGATGCCTGCGTTCGTCGTAACCCGAGAGATTCTATTCAATATGTTTACTGCTGACATAGGTTGCAAAGAGACTATTGCAGTCTTGGTGGTATTTGTGTTTTGTTACATAGGTGTACGACAATTAGGACAGTCATTTAAATAAAATCATAATGGATTTTTAGTACCATCGCAACACATTCGAATGCAGGAGACACACAGGATCCACCAAATCCAGTCTTTTAAGGCCAACATTGGCTACTTCTGTTCTGTTCGATTCGGAAAACACCGCGTGGGTATATCAGAAGGACATAGAGAAGGACATTTTATGTAACATGTCCTTGTAGCCCAAATCGGGCATCTGTAATAAATCTATATAATCTATATTTATTTTTTATTTTTTTTCTTTAGTGAATACTAACACAGATAAGATGGTGTCACATAGCAATGCCAATGCCATTAGACACAGAGTTACGCAACCATACTATCATATCATCGTCAGGTGTCTGTTTACGTGAACGTATTCTTTTGTCAGCAGGGAGAAGGGATTACGAGGTCAGTCAAACAGAATGTAAAGAGGCAAAACAACAGAGCACCTGAGTCTCGACAGCAGTATACAAACATTATTCACACAGTTCCTGACCTATAGTCAGGTTCCAAGTGTGTGGGAAAAATTTAAGGTGTTAAAGTTGCAATCAATACAATATTTCACCAAACGTATTTTTTAATGGGGTGTTTCACACAAATATTAAATAAGCATGTAATGATGGGACGGACACTAAAGTTCGGGTTTCTTATACCTGCCATCCTGCTACCAATATAATCTAATTAATACGCTTGATAGCTTATTAATTTGCTCATATATGCATGCCACCATAAATCAGTGACATTAATGAAGGTTCAATTGTCCAGGTTTCGTTCGTTTGTTGTTTAACGCCGCTAATTCCCGCTATATGACGGTGGTCTGTAAATAATCGAGTTTGGTTCAGACAATCCAGTGATTGGCATCATACGCATCGATCAATGCAATTGGGATACGATGACATGCATCAACCACTTGGTTGACTACCAGCAGGTTTGACCAACCGATCCCATTAGTCGCCTCTAACGACAAGCAAAGTCGCATTTTACGGTGGGCATGGGTTGCTGAATACCCATTCTACCCCGGATCTTCACGTGTACAATTATCCAGGCGCAACAATGACATGACCAATTATTGTCGATACCAAAATAGCGACCGTTATCATTGGAACTTCTTTGGGTGACTTATGTTTAAAACCGCCCGTAGATTTTCAAGCAATGGACGATCATCTGCTGGTGGCTTGGTGGGTTGGTGTTAAACTATAGAAACTAAATCTACTTAACCCATGTCTTATAAATGAAAGCTTTAACCATAGAACCTCAGTTTGTTCCTCAGTTGCATCATGAATAACATCAACAGTATACGATGCGTCATGCGCACAGATGCCTTCGTGTCACAATCACGTAGCTCGATGCTCTTGATGTCAATCAATGGATTGTCTGGACCAGACTCGATCATATACAGACTGCCGTCAAGTAGCTGGAGTGAGTGAGTACGGTTGTACGCCGCTTTTAGCAATATTCCAGCAATATCACGGCTGGGGACACCAGAAATGGGCTTTACACATTGTACCCATGTCGGGAATCGAACCCGGGTCTTCGGCGTGACAAGCGAACGCTTTAACCACTAGGCTACCCGACTGCCCCTCAAGTAGCTGGAAGACAACTGAGTGCGGTGTTATACAACACACAAACAAAAGCAGGGACGCAGTTCACGCAGATCAAATTTAACTTCTTTGTTGATTTACCTAGGTACCGGGGAACCAGTCATCCCCCAACAGGTATACGTGACACAACACAAAGGGCGCTATGCGATTAAACCTTTGTTTACCCGGTGCCGCTACCGTATGGTTGCTGAAGGTCAGATCAAAGTGACCCATTATTACAATGTGACAGCTGATATTCTATCGAAGCATTGGCCAACTCTTATTACGAAGAATATTGGGGGGGGGGGGGGGGGACTAGAGCAATATAAAAACAGTATTTAAAAACAAATAATGTATGGAGTTGGTTGGTTGGTTGGTTGGTTGTTTTACGCCGCACACAGCAATATTCCAGCTATATGACGGCACGTATGGAGTCAGTGAATGTGTGCGCGGTCGCTCACGGGTAATTCATAAGAATGAGTGTGTAGGAGTCTGTTTATTGTTTTACGCCGCACTCAGCAATATTCCCGCTATATGACGGCGGTCTTGACCAGACAATTAAGTGACTGACATCATGAGCATCGATCCACGCAGGTAAGCGAGCCTAACCACCCGATCCCGTTAGTCGCCTCTTACGACAAGCATAGTCGCCTTTGACAGCAAGCATGGGTTGCTGAAGACCTATTCTACCCTCGATCTTCACGGAGATCCGGGGTAGAATAGGTCTTCAGCAACCCACGCTTCCTGTAAAAGGCAACTATGCTGGTCGTAAAAGGCGACTATGCTTGTCGTAAAAGGCGATTAACGGGATCGGTTGGTCAGGCTCGCTGACTTTGTTGATGCATGTCATCGATCCCAATTGCTTGTATCGATGCTCATGATGTCAATCACTGGATTGTCTGGTCCAGACTCGATTATTTACAGACCGCCGTCATATAGCTGGAAGATTGCGTTACAACAAACCAACCAACTAGTGGATAGGAATGACAAAAACATTCTTCATTTCGCCTCGTTTGGTTGGAGATAGTGGAGTATATTCTCGCAAAGAATGTTGTAGACATAAACAGGAGACGACGGATATACGGCAGTAATGCCGGCGGCTTGTACGGGAAATAGAGAAGGGTTTCACTTATTTGTGAAAAAAGGAGCAAATCTATCGCTTGTCGATTAAAACGACCACGACATCCTTTATTTGTCCTATGAAAATAGAAATATAAACATTGTGAAATATGTCCTTTCCCATGTCAATGTAGATACTGCCGTCATGAAACATATAAACTGACACGTGAAGATCCGGGGTAGAATAGGTCTTCAGCAACCCATGTTGCCGTAAAAGGCGACTGTGCTTGTCGTAAAAGGCGACTAACGGGATCGGGTGATCAGGCTCGCTGACTTGGTTGATGCATGTCATCGATCCCAATTGCGTGTATCGATGATCATGATATTAATCACTGGATTGTCTGGTCCAGACTCGATTACTTACAGACCGCCGTCATATAGCTGGAATATTGCTGAGTGAGGCGTTAAACAAGAAACAAACAAAACAAAACCAATATATAAACTGTGGGAGCTGGAGAAGAATACGGTGCTGTACGAAACAATACCAGCAAAGTGATGCACCGTTGTGTGAATTCATCTTACAAACACATGTTGGGCATGATACTCCTATCACTGTCTGTGAGTAAAAGAAAAGTGTCCATAATGTTATACGTCAGTGTAATTTATTGTTAAACAATGTTGTAATTGTATTAGATTGTTTCTGTTCAGATTCAATGGACGTTAAGAGTGAGTGAGTGAGTGAGTGAGTGAGTGAGTGAGTGAGTGAGTGAGTGAAAATTGTAGATCGCAACGGCAATATTGCAGCCATATCGCGATGAAAACATTTTAGTTATTTACACCAGTCGACAAAGGACAGTATAACAGTAGGACAAATATCACAGATTAGGTATAAAACAAACCAGGTCATAAGTAAAACAAATAATTCTTCAATAGATTCAAAAAATATATTAAAACCAGGCTATGGACCACTAGCATCAAGACCTTACTGATTTTTTTGTTTATTTGTTGTTTAACGCCGCACTCAGCAATAATCCAGTTATATGACGGGGGTCTGTAAATAATCGAGTCTGGACCAGACAATCCAGTGATTGATATCATGAGCTTCGATCCTTGAAATTGAGATACGATTACAACAAACCAAGCCGGCGAGCCTGACCACCCGATCTCGATAGTCGCCTCATCAAATAGCCAATTCCCTTCCACTGATTTACCCACCTGGTCGAGAAATAAAGGAGACCGGCGAGACCGTTTCATCTGTTTCTTATGTATAAAGATGCAGAATGACAAAACACTCTCAACAAGACTGTAGGACAAGAGGGATGACTTCAACTTTCCAATAGTCAACTTTCACTTTATGTCGAGCAATATTCCAGCAGCTCCAGTCCTTGGTGTCTACATTTCACATTTTTTAGAAATTATTATTATTTATTTACATATCTTGCTTTATAACGACTCGTAAGGGATGCCAATTGTATTAGTATAAACGGTTTTGACGGCTACAAAATTTATTTGGAATACATTTGGCTTGGTTAAAGATAATGATGGTACTATACTATATATACTCTTTAAAAAAACTTGACACTGACTTTCACAATGTAATATAAAGCTATTGTTCCAAAATAGGACACAGAAACCATGATTGAAACATTGTTTGAAGATTAATGTACACAATGTTCAAAACGTTAATCGTGTCACCTAGACAGACACACGTACACCTTACAGTTAATGTCACAGGGGTACAGAAAATGTCAGTATCGGTTGTGCCCACCACGTGCATCAATCACCGCTTGACACCGACGACCCATAGATGCAATCAAGTTGTCAATAACACGCTGTTGGATGTGCTGCCATTCATGCTGAAGTGCAACAAGAAGCGCCGGACGAGTTTGGGGCGGTGGATTCCTTCTGCGAACGCGTCGATCCAACTCGTCCCACAGATGCTCAATCGGGGACAAATCTGGTGACCAGGCTGGCCAAGGTAATGTCTGGATGTTGTTGTGCTGTAAGAAGTCCTGACAAACACGTGCAATATGCGGTCGAACGTTGTCCAGCTGGAACTGTCCGCCATGAACGTTGATGTGAGGAAGAACGTAAGGCTGTAGGATCAAGTCTCCTTAACGCACGCCTGTCAATGCACCTGCCACATGCACGAGAGGCGCCCTACCACCGTGATGAATTCCGGCCCATACCATGACACTCCCGCCGCCAAATGGGACAACCTGCTGTACAGAGTTGGGGGCGTAACGTTCACCCCGACGTCTGTAGACACGTGCGCGCCCATCAGCACGTGTGAGTAGGAAACGGGACTCGTCAGTAAAAAGTACATTTCTCCACCTTGCACGTGCCAATCTAACCCTCTGTTGGCACCAAAGCAGTCGGTCCGCCAGATGACGTGGGGTCAATACATGACGTCGAACAGGTCTTCGTGCAAAAAGTCCAGCCTCCCTCAGTCTGTTGCGTACCGTTTGATCTGATATTCTGCGTATCCCAGGGATCTGTGTGGTTGTAGACGTGGCTGTGGTAGTGCGGTCTCGGAGGTGTCGCAGCCGGATGTATCGATCTTGTGCTTGGGTTGTCACCCTTGGTCTTCCTGACCTTGGTCTGTCGTCAACTCTGTTGATGTTGTTGTATCGGGTCCACAGTGCGGAGATTGTCTGTCTGGATACGCCAAAGTGCCTGGCCACTTCTTGCTGAGTTGCTCCAGCTTGTAATCTCCCAATGGCGTTGTTCCGTTGAGCTGCATTCAGTCTTGGCATTCTGTCAACGCCTCTACTGCCGTTATAAGTATTGTATGAACAGCCGTTGATGTGGATTTTTATACCCATTCAGCAGGGGGGCCTGCATGCCTAAATGCAGGATCCTGTGCTGCACGTTTTTTACAGGCGGTTGCATTTGGATGAAGCTGTAAAATTGATCCCAAAACGCTACGTTTATGTGCTTTGCATGTGTTTTCGCGAATTATAGACACATCATCTTTCTGTTTGACTTATTTGGTTCTCATTTAATGTAATTATTTTAGATATTTGGCAAAGAGTGGTTTTTTTGAAGAGTATATTATTATGTCTGTTGTCGATCACTTGTACCAAACGTAGTATACTCAAGCTACAGGCTACACAACAGATAAGGTGTAAATAATGTCACTGAATACAGAACAACCTCAGCCTTGTCCAATCGTTGAGACATAACGTTTGTAGTCTTAACGCCAAAACGATTTCTCTTCCGCTTATCCCATACATTGACTATAAACCTGCAATTCGATATTACATCAGAGATCTAATGCAGTAGAAGTTGGACAGAAAAGTGGGTATAAATTAATTACATGCAATAAAACCAAATATCGGTTACACCCACTTGGGTTGTCAGTCCAGATTTGATTGGTTGGTTGGTTGGTTGGTTGTTTAACGCCGCACACAGCAATATTCAAGCTATATGACGGCGGTCAATCCAATGATTGACAACATGAACAACGATCCACGCAATTGGTATCGATGACATGCATCAACCAAGTCAGCGAACCTGACCACCCGATCCCGTTAGTCGCCTTTTACGGCAAGCATGGGTTGCTGAAGACCTTTAGACTACCCCGGATCTTCACGGGTCTCCAGATTTGAAGAGGTCATATTAAGACGATGTCGTATTGACCACCTGTATGGACCCCAGCCACAGAATATGAGCAATCATAATACAGTTCTTACCATGCAACTGACCGGTCAGAGACCTTATCGCCACTGATTTGTCGACCATAATAAAATAATAGTATTAACTGTGTCAAATGTACATATTCGTGGTCTCTCAAGCTAAGTATGTTTCTTTCGATAAAGTGATCCTGATTGAAACCGTACAAAATATGGTGCTTTAGAACAGCCGATCAAACGACCAATTAATCGCCTCAGAATGTCCACACGTAGACAGCTCTATAAATATACTGATATTGGCCCTTTGATAAGTAAATAACGGACCACCTACCAATCACGTGGTGCCGCCATCTGCTGCGTGCAGTAAACAAATAATGGGATTTCAACAGTACTCTGCCTAGCCTGTGTTTGACGGCTGGTAATTTCTCATATCAGCCTAATCGGAACCTTGGTGGAAATCAGTTTTCATTGCGTATGAGATATATGGAAATTTGGCAGGACATGTTTATCCCTTTCGCAAACACCTGATGTCATCACTGATTTCCATTGACCCAAGGACCCGTGAAGATTCCGGGGTAGAATAGGTCTTCAGCAACCCGTGCCTGCCGTAAAAGGTGACTATGCTTGTCGTAAAAGGCGACTAACGGGATCGGGTGGTCAGGCTCGCTGACTTGGTTGATGCATGTCATCAATCCCAATTGCGTGGATTGATGCTCATGATATTAATCACTGGATTGTCTGGTCCAGACTCGACTATTTACAGACTGCTATTTTGCAGTTTAGATCCCCTGGAATATATCTCGACGGACAATCGAGACACGTATTCTCTGACGTTGTCGTTTTATATCAAATTACACCTAGCGTCGCATGTCAGAGTTATATGTGTCCGCTTTAGCTAAGGCTTAATCAACGTCATAAATATCTGTTGTTGTTCTTCTTGTTCTTGTTCATGTTCTTGTTGGTTTATTGTTTAACGCCGCACTCAGCAATATTCCACCTACAGTCAGGTTCAATTAACTACATGCTACCTGTGCGTGTCTTTTTTTCAGAGTGTATGTGTCCATTGCAACAGTTTAGTTGAAATCAAATTCATATTTCCTATGGATTTGTCATTAAATATACCACAGGCACACCAGGTTTATGCTTTGTTATTTTTAATAAAAACTGTATCAGTGGTTTCATATTGGAATGATCATCTTTATTTGTTTACTCGAGAAAGACTGAACATTATTGCTCTCTTCAATCAGAAACAAGTTCAATAAAAAATATTTCTTTTGATTTCAAGAAAGAAAACGAGCCTGTCCCTTCTCATTGAACTAACAGCATTTGTTGAAATTAAACTGCCGAACAATTGAAATTATATTCCCATGTTTGATAGTAGTGTCATGGCGACTGATTTACGACACCCATTGTCTGAAGAACATTTAATTGCAAAGGCTCATTACCCTGGAGCCATGACATCTATATGCCTTGAAACATTTAATTGCTGTTATTTATAAGATGCTAATCCTATTTGTTAATCACCATTTTTGTGTACATCGACGGTCTGCCATCCTGAACAGGATGTGCAAGTATGTCACTGATGATTTACTGTTTACATTTATATTTATTACTTACTAAATGTCAGGTGACCTTGGCTATATAAGCCTTGGTCCAGAAAAAAAAGGGGAGGAGAGGAAAAAAAAGGTCTTACCCTTAGCCTAGCTAGGGTTAGGCTGGGTGCTCCGGGGCACCAAGACAACAACCACTACCACTATGTGCTGACCTGACACATAGTGTCTTTTGTATGTATATATCTACATGTATAAAGTAAAACTGTATATACCGCAAGCCATCGTCTCCAAGTTATCACTTCCTACTGAGAACCATACGTCGGCCCCTTGCATATACGAGTGTGCAAATCGTTCATTAATCAATGTCAGATCGACACGCGTTGTTAGTAGCTAAACATGAACAAACGAGAAATGATTATTCGATGGGATGTATTTGATCATGGTTGTATTTTGGACGTTACGTTTGAAGTGTTTCAGCCTAGACACGGTTTGATAATGATTGTATTTTTGGGTCAAATCCAATTTTTAAGTCTATACTTTCTTTTGCCCGGCACATAAGATGAGATGATATTTGTTCTAGATTAAAATTCCAACTGCAAAAGGGACCGCCTCCGTGGTCTAATGGTAGAGCGTCCGCCCGGAGAGCGGAAGGTCCGGGGTTTGATCCCCGGCCGCGTCATACCAAAAGACGTTAAAAGATGGTACTTGTTGTTACCCCGTCTGGCGCTCGGCATTAAGGGCCTAAAACAAGGACTGGTCGGCTCGGAGTCAGTATACTGTGTCTGAGTGGGGTATTCATGTTAAACTGCGGCATGGTATCTCAGTGTGCTAGCACTATAAATCGGCATCAGTCCTGACTAGTACAAACAGCCACACACACACACACACACACACACACACACACACGTACATGCACGTCGCTATATAAGTGCAATAATCTCGGACGCGACGTTAAAACCCCCTTTCACCTCACCTCACCAACTGCAAAAGATGACATGGTTGTTACCTTGGATACAAATTGTTTACCTGGTTTTATTTCGCTATCAGCCTTACACCGATAACGAAGTACATTATTATTCTCGCACATGTCAAAATCCCATGTCTAAGGCGGCAAGGTGTGATTCATATGAGATTAGGGATCTATTCACATACGTCGCCTACCATCTGATGCTGAGGATGAGATATACATGTGCTGTGATCTTTCTGTCAAGTCTCGTCTCATGGACATCATCCGACATCCCCTTCCGTAACGCCTCCCTCCCCTGGCAGGTGCGTGTGGAGGACGTGGTGGGGAGACTGACCATCCAGGAGATTCAGGCCCAGCTGGCCAGTGGTCAGGGAGCTACCCCACCAATCAGCAGATTAGGCATTGGGGAATACTCTTGGTGGACCAACTGTGGTCGGGGGGATGTCGGACAGAACTCTACGGCCTTCCCCCAGGCCATTGGCATTGGAGCATCCTTTGAGTGAGTCAATTTCATACTTTCAGAAAACATATCCCCGTTCATTTTTTGTCAGTCTTCACCGTATGTGGGCTCATCTTTTTTCTCAATTTTTTTTCTTTTTTTAGGGTGGGGGTGGGGGGTAATTTTGTAAGACGAAGATTGTTTCTCGATGACCCTTTTAAGACGAACACTCGGTTCGAGCCAAACAATGTCTTTTTCAGGACTTCCATCTTGTCCGGTGAACATTATCTTCCTTAATGGATCGACTGTTTTGTTCAGGACACTCAGCGTGTTCAGCCGTCGTTTCCTTAATTAAACGGAGGCAAACTGATTATCAAATCCCGTGAAGATCCGGGATAGAATAGGTCTTCAGCAACCCACGCTTGCCACGCTTGCCGTATATATTAACTAAGGGAACATAAAGTTCTTCCACATTTATGTCACCCATGTACAAAGAAGAGACCCTTGGAGATCCGGGGTAGAATAGGTCTTCAGCAAACCACGCTTGCTGTAAAAGGCAACTTTGCTGGTCGTAAAAGGCGACTATGCTTGCCGTAAAAGGTGACTAACGGGATCGGTTGGTCAGGCTCGCTGACTTGGGTGATGCATGTCATCGGTCCCAATTGTGTAGATCGATGCTCATGATGTCAATCACTGGATTGTGCGGCGTTAAACAACAAACAAGCAAACAAAGATTATCAAATGGGATATATCAAAAGGTCGGTCTCTGAAAACGCTGAGGGGATGTCTTTGCAATATGAGTAATAATTGGCTATTCCACAACTAGAAACGCACACGTCCACGTTATGAAGACTATGACGGGAATCTTCAACAACAAAATTTTATCACACACTAACCTGTCCTTTGTCGACATGTTTTATAATCTAAATGTATGTATTATTACGGTGTAATTATTTTATTTTTATATTTATTTATTTGTTGTTGTTTTTGTGTTTTTTAATTATTATTTTTTATTTTTTTATTTTTTTATTTATTTTTTTTTTGTTGGGGGGGGGGGGGTCGGGTAGCCTAGTGGTTAAAGCATTCGCTCGTCACGCCGAAGACCCGGGTTCGATTCCCGACATGGGTACAATGTATGAAGCCAATTTCTGGTGTCCCCCGCCGTGATATTGCTGGAATATTGCTAAAAGCGGCGTAAAACCATACTCACTCACTCACTCACACAACGTGAGTTGAACCGCTTAAACTCTGATGCCTGTTCGTTGAAATTGGTGGTTAAAATCCACGCTCCAGACTTGTACTAACCATTTCATATGTTAGACACAGGGCCCTCGTGCTCAAACCTTTCTCGCATTCCAATGAGGACACGTGTCCTAAATACTACCTCACAACAGATTAAGTCCTTATCACTGAGAAAAGACGAAACACGGAATACCATGACCTGAAATACTGCGATGACTGTTTACACTGAGAATACCCTATTAATGAACACATATAGTGAAAAATAAAACACGCGTGGTGGAAGTCTGTTTTACGTGTTATCCATACCCTAAAAATAACAGGTTGTTATGAGACAGGCATTGAATGAGTGAGTTGGGTTTAACGCCGCTTTTAACAGTATTCCAGTTATATCGCGGCGTGTAAGCTGAATGTGGGAGGAAAGCCCGAAGTGATAAGGTCTCTGACGTTTACCACTTCGGTGAAACCCACGAGCACGGGTATGGTGCTGACAAACCTAGAAACGTAATCGGGGCGAACCGGGATTCGAACCCACAATCATATGTTTCTGGCTCGCCCAAGGGACGCAACTCTGCACAGCGAATCGCGGCGCCTTAGACGACTGGGCCACCGTGCCCCCAGACCGGCATTGAAAACTTTTTTATTAGTGGATAAATTTGGATCTTTTCGGAGAAATGTAGATATCTTTTGTATACAGACTGTGTAGGTTATAACATGAGGAAGATTGCCTCAAACCATTTGAATTCACAATGTTCATGCATATATCTGTTGTTGAATCCTACATCAAATATTTTAGAGGTGAGGTGAAATGGGGTTTAACGTCGCGTCCAAGATTATTGCACGTACATAGCGACGTGCATGTACGTGTACGTGTGTGTGTGTGTGTGTGTGTGTGTGTGTGTGGCTGCTTGTACTAGTCCGGACTGATGCCGATTTATAGTCCTAGCTCACTGAGATACCATTCCGCAGTTTAACATGAATACTCCACTCAGACACAGTATACTGACTCCGAGTCGACCAGTCCTTGTTTTAGCCCCTTAATGCCGAGCGCCAGACAGGGTAACAACAAGTACCATCTTTTAACGTCTTTTGGTGTGATCGAACCCTGGACCTCCCGCTCTACCACTAGACCACGGAGGCGGTCAAATATTTTAGATGATCAATACCTCAATTTAATCTTCCTCAATTTAGATGTATTGCATAAACCGGTACATAAAAAATGGTAGACTATGCAGTTTATGTAAATAGGCAAGCATCGGTGAAAAGTATATGAATGGATCACTGAAAGCTTTTGTTGGCACCAGGGTTTCGCGAGAAGGGTTAACATGACCTACCCGCCACTCACCCAATTTGCATAAAAAAGTAATTGTTTGAGTGAGTGAGTGAGTGAGTGAGGTGGGTTTAACGCAGCTTTTAACATTATTCCAGTTATATCGCTGCGTGTCAGCTTAATGTGGGAGGAAAGCCCGAAGTGATGCAGGTCTCTGACGTTTACCACTTCGGTGAAACCCACGAGCACGGGTATGGTGCTGACAAACCTAGAAACATAATCGGGGCGAACCGGGATTCGAACCCACAACCAAAGGTTTCTGGCGTGCCCAAGGGACGCAACTCCGCACAGCGACTTGCGGCGCCTTAGACGACTGGGCCACCCGTGCTCCCCAGTAATTGTTTGAAGTAAGAAGGCACGTGTGAAGATGAATATCATCTATAAAATTTACTTTTTTAGTGTAGTTCATAGATAGTTTTGTATATATATTTTTAGTAGTCATGATTATATGTTTATCAGGCAATGTTATTACGGCAATCTGTATCACAATATTATGTTCCTCGCTCAAGAGATTGGTATTATAACTTAGGCCTATGTTACGCGACGAATGAATCGCTTGAATCTCTAACTATGGACTCACAATGATGCCATCCTGGTCCTGCCGCCATTCTGGTGACCACACTGGAAACATATTCGTAAATTATCTTCAGCAAAGACCTGATCTACCGAGTGGCGGAGGCAAGCAGTACTGAGGTTCGGGCCTACTACAACTACTTCGTGAAGACGGGGTCAATGGGCATCCACAAGGCTCTCAGCTGCTGGAATCCCGACATGGACCTCTACAGAGACCCTCGCTGGGGCAGGGGACAGGTGTGTTACACTACAGACACTCACAGAGCGGCTATATAGGTTGTGGGAGCCAAGTGGCCCAGTTGACAAAGGTGCTCTTGATCGAAGTTCGAATCCCAACTCACTCACTCACTCACTCACTCACTCACTCACTCACTCACTCACTCACTCACTCACTGTAAAAGGCCCCTCGTAACTTATGCTTGCCAAACTGAAAAGGCTGGCTTCATCGTAACGTCAAAACTTGGAGTTTTGCTACTTAATCGACTTTCGTTCATATGTTTGATATTTCAATTATTTTTAAAAAGAAAGACATTTTTATTTAAAATAAAAGGAAACTCTAAGCGAGGACCCCTACCACGCTGGTGAGATGGGATTCCAGCACGTGAAAGGTCTCCAAGGTAACCACCCACGCTATGTCAGGACCACTTCCGCCTGTAAACACTTAGATGTGTCCGATGGACCGGAAGACTGGCCTGTGGACGCTCATGTATTCCATGCCAAGGTATGTCATATTTTACCCCATGGTCCATACCCCACTATGTAAACTTTTTCTAATGCTATGTATGACCCATTTGTGTTCTTCAAATTATTATCATCATCCTTCTCCTCCTCCTCCTCCTCCTCCTCATCATCATCATCATCATCATCATCATCTTCACCTTCATCATCATCGTCGTCGTCGCCATCATCATCACCATCGTCGTCATCATCATCAACATTGCAATCATTGTAATTATCATCGTTATTTTCATTATCATTTTTATTATTATTGATATAATTAAATATGTATCTTTTTTCGGACCATAATGATTTACATCAGTACCTAACTATTATTGCGTGCTCTTTTTCATTTATTTCTGCTATTAATTGATTTTATCGATCATAGTTCTTAGTGTCTGTTCATGAGCTCAGATGCTATACCCAATGTTTTGGACCAATCAATTTACTCTGTGTGTAGTGATTTGGACGATGAGGGGTACAGAACTGTATTTTATGGTTGCAACTATTTGTTTTGTTTTGACGCTGTTTTTCTTTAGAAATAGGGGGCATGTTGTTTTACTTCATTAATATTTTTATTTTCACCACAGAAAAAAACACTGAAAAGAACATTAAAGGCAAAAATACGTATTTACTTGTTTGCTTTATTCTCATTCACTGCCTCAGCGGGGTCCTATAGACCACATATTGTAGAATTGTAGAGTGCGGCATTAACCAACAACTATACACATAAATTTACTGCCTTAACTTGACGGGCATTTTTCTCAGCATTATGACCTAGATTGCAATTGATACTCACTTGTAATAGGTTAAGGAAGAGAATTTATGGATGTCAACTTCTTTATTCTGAGGAACACAACGTTTCCCAGTATATATTTACTCCTTCATCAGAATTTCGCAAAGGAAATGAGAAAAAGACCCTCACACTTCTTTCTTCGGGTAATCCATCCTTTGCCGGGTTTCAGATTGGAATATGAAGTGATTTCGTCTGATAAATCATCAATAAAAGACATACAACAATTTTCACAAGAATGGTAACGGTGAACAAATTAAGGAAAATTTGCTGTAGTGGCAGGGTTCAATAAGTTCTTAAATAGGATGCCCAAACGTCAGGTGATATTGCAATACCAGATTGCCGTCACTTGTTCAGTTTATAGTATAACCTATTTCTGGTTTCATAAAAATATGCAATTGTCTTGCAATAAATTATTGATGTAAGCAGGTTACTACATTTTGATATCAGTAGCTATATTTCTCATTTCGACATAAATACATACAAACCAGGAATTGAGTGATGTCTCAATTGAGTTTGTGTTGAATGTAGGTTTCAGAACGAGACTTCAGAAGCTACTTCCTGCCTCCCTTCAGGAAATGTGCAGAGGCTGGGTCGTTCGGCTTCCACTGCTCCCTCAACTTGTGAGACCATCTTGTGTTTGTATTTCTAAATATTCCTCACTTGTGAAAACATCTAGGTCTCGTATTTCTAAACACACATAACTTGTGAAAACATCTAGCTCTCGTATTTCTAAATATCCCAACTTTTGAGACCACCTTGTTCTTGTATTTCAAAACACACATAACTTGTGAAGCCATCTTGGTCTCGTATTTCTAAATATCCCAACTTTTGAGACCACCTTGTTCTTCTATTTCTAAACACACATAACTTGTGTAGCCATCTAGGTCTCGTATTTCTAAATATCCCAACTTTTGAGACCACCTTGTTCTTGTATTTCTAAACACACATAACTTGTGAAGCCATCTAGGTCTCGTATTTCTAAATATTCCAACTTTTGAGACCACCTTGTTCTTGTATTTCTAAATACACATAACTTGTGAAGCAATTTTGATCTCGTTTTTCTAAACACACATAACTTGTGAAGCCATCTTGATCTCGTATTTCTAAACACACATTACTTGTGAAGCCATCTTGTTCTCGTATTTCTTAACACTTCAGTTTTGTGAAGCCATCTTGATCTCGTATTTCTAAACACACAATACTTGTTAAGCAATCTTGGACTCGTATTTCTAAACACTTCTGTTTTGTGAAGCCTTCTTGATCTTGTATTTCTAAACACACATTACTTGTGAAGGCATCTTGGTCTCGTATTTCTAAATACATATATAACTTGTGAAACCATGTTGGTGTCGTATTTCTAAACGCGCCTAGCATCTGAGACAATCCTGTTCCTGTTTTGTGATGTAAATACCAAGAAATCAAGTCACAGCTTTCTATTACAGTTATCGTCACACATCATACGATATTCTTTTATTTGACAGTGATTAGCTGTGCTTTTAGAACCTAATTCTTATGATTATGGACAATTGACACTTTTATTTATTTTAAATCATATCTAAGATTGTTACTGACCCACGGGCCCATCTGATCAAACATCGCGTGCTTCTTGGTCAGCTACAGAGTGAAACAATAGCTGAAGATTCTCATTTTGAAAATAAACAATATTTAAAACTTCGAATATTTTTAACGACTGTATGGCTAAATTTATTGGAAGAAAATGGAGGGATATATATATTGTCCTGCCGTGTTCCAGCATCAACGGTGTCCCCGCCTGTGCCAACAAGAAGCTACTGACAGATATAGTCAGAGGGGAGTGGAACTTCACAGGATACGTAGCAGCAGATTCTGCAGCTCTCGTCAACATGATCCAGAGGCAGCACTACTTCAACAACACCGTCGACGCCGCCGCAGGCTGTCTGAACGCTGGTTGTGGCCTCGAGGTGCAGGAGGGTGATCTAAGAGTGTATGACTCTATCAGTGAGTGAACACAATAATAATCGTCAAGGTTAAGATGCTTGTCTCAAAGTGTTGAGGCTTGCCTAAGGGTGTGGATGCTTGTGTGGATGCTTGTCTAAGGGTGTGGATGCTTGTATGGATGCTTGTCTAAGGGTGTGGATGCTTGCCTAAGGGTGTGGATGCTTGTCTAAGGGTGTGGATGCTTGTCTAAGGGTGTGGATGCTTGTCTAAGGGTGTGGATGCTTGTCTAAGGGTGTGGATGCTTGTCTAAGGGCGTGGATGCTTTTGTGGATGCTTGTCTAAGGGTGTGGATGCTTGTCTAAGGGTGTGGATGCTTTTGTGGATGCTTGCCTAAGGGTGTGGATGCTTGTCTAAGGGCGTGGATGCTTGTCTAAGGGTGTGGATGCTTGTCTAAGGGTGTGGATGCTTGTCTAAGGGTGTGGATGCTTGTCTAAGGGCGTGGATGCTTTTGTGGATGCTTGTCTAAGGGCGTGGATGCTTGTCTAAGGGTGTGGATGCTTGTCTAAGGGTGTGGATGCTTGTCTAAGCGTGTAGATGCTTGTCTAAGGGTGTGGATGCTTGTCTAAGGGCTTGGATGCTTTTGTGGATGCTTGTCTAAGGGCGTGGATGCTTGTCTAAGGGCGTGGATGCTTGTCTAAGGGCGTGGATGCTTGTCTAAGGGCGTGGATGCTTGTCTAAGGGCGTGGATGCTTTTGTGGATGCTTGCCTAAGGGTGTTGATGCTTGTCTAAGGGCGTGGATGCTTGTCTAAGGGTGTGGATGCTTTTGTGGATGCTTGTCTAAGGGCGTGAATGCTTGTCTAAGGGCGTGGATGCTTGTCTAAGGGCGTGGATGCTTGTCTAAGGGTGTGGATGCTTGTCTAAGGGCGTGGATGCTTTTGTGGATGCTTGCCTAAGGGTGTTGATGCTTGTCTAAGGGCGTGGATGCTTGTCTAAGGGCGTGGATGCTTTTGTGGATGCTTGCCTAAGGGTGTGGATGCTTGTCTAAGGGCATGGATGCTTGTCTAAGGGCGTGGATGCTTGTCTAAGGGCGTGGATGCTTGTCTAAGGGCGTGGATGCTTGTCTAAGGGCGTGGATGCTTTTGTGGATGCTTGCCTAAGGGTGTGGATGCTTGTCTAAGGGCGTGGATGCTTGTCTAAGGTCGTGGATGCTTTTGCGGATGCTTGCCTAAGGGTGTGGATGCTTGTCTAAGGGTATGGATGCTTGTCTAAGGGCGTGGATGCTTGCCTAAGGGTATGGATGCTTGTCTAAGGGCGTGGATGCTTGTCTAAGGGCGTAGATGCTTGCCTAAGGGTGTGGATGATTGTCTAAGGGTATGGATGCTTGTCTAAGGGCGTGGATGCTTGCCTAAGGGTGTGGATGCTTGTCTAAGGGCGTGGATGCTTGTCTAAGGGTGTGGATGCTTGTCTAAGGGCGTGGATGCTTTTGTGGATGCTTGCCTAAGGGTGTGGATGCTTGCCTAAGGGTGTGGATGCTTGTCTAAGGGTGTGGATGCTTGTCTAAGGGCGTGGATGCTTTTGTGGATGCTTGTCTAAGGGTGTGGATGCTTGTCTAAGGGCGTGGATGCTTGTCTAAGGGTGTGGATGCTTGTCTAAGGGTGTGGATGCTTTTGTGGATGCTTGCCTAAGGGTGTGGATGCTTGCCTAAGGGTGTGGATGCTTGTCTAAGGGTGTGGATGCTTTTGTGGATGCTTGTCTAAGGGTGTGGATGCTTTTGTGGATGCTTGTCTAAGGGTGTGGATGTTTTGTGGATGCTTGTCTAAGGGTGTGGATGCTTGTCTAAGGGTGTGGATGCTTGTCTAAGGGCGTGGATGCTTGTCTAAGGGTGTGGATGCTTGTCTAAGGGTATGGATGCTTTTGTGGATGCTTGCCTAAGGGTGTGGATGCTTGTCTAAGGGTATGGATGCTTGTCTAAGGGCGTGGATGCTTGTCTAAGGGTGTGGATGCTTGTCTAAGGGCGTGGATGCTTTTGTGGATGCTTGCCTAAGGGTGTGGATGCTTGTCTAAGGGTGTGGGTGCTTGTCTAAGGGCGTGGATGCTTGTCTAAGGGTGTGGATGTTTGTCTAAGGGCGTGGATGCTTGTCTAAGGGTGTGGATGCTTTTGTGGATGCTTGCCTAAGGGTGTGGATGCTTGCCTAAGGGTGTGGATGCTTGTCTAAGGGCGTGGATGCTTGTCTAAGGGTGTGGATGCTTTTGTGGATGCTTGTCTAAGGGTGTGGATGCTTTTTGTGGATGCTTGTCTAAGGGTGTGGATGCTTTTGTGGATGCTTGTCTAAGGGTGTGGATGCTTTTGTGGATGCTTTTGTCTTAGGGTGTGGATGCTTGTCTAAGGGTATGGATGCTTGTCTAAGGGTATGGATGCTTGTCTAAGGGCGTGGATGCTTTTGTGGATGCTTGTCTAAGGGTGTGGATGCTTGTCTAAGGGCGTGGATGCTTGTCTAAGGGTGTGGATGCTTGTCTAAGGGTGTGGATGCTTGTCTAAGGGCGTGGATGCTTTTGTGGATGCTTGTCTAAGGGTGTGGATGCTTGTCTAAGGGTATGGATGCTTTTGTAGAGGCTTGTCTAAGGGTGTGGATGCTTGTCTAAGGGTATGGATGCTTGTCTAAGGGCGTGGATGCTTTTGTGGATGCTTGTCTAAGGGTGTGGATGCTTGCCTAAGGGTGTGGATGCTTGTCTAAGGGCGTGGATGCTTTTGTGGATGCTTGTCTAAGGGTGTGGATGCTTGTCTAAGGGTGTGGGTGCTTGTCTAAGGGCGTGGATGCTTGTCTAAGGGTGTGGATGCTTGTCTAAGGGCGTGGATGCTTGCCGAAGGATCTGGATGCTTGTCTAAGGGCGTGTATGCTTGTCGAAGGGTGTGGACAGTAAAATATAAGACGAGGGAGTTATCTGTAAAGTCACGTATCACGCCTGTCTGAAAATGAACATATCTTGCAACATACCCCCTCTCACATGTCTACTATGACTGGTGTCATATTTCCTTGCGAGTTATCTTTGTCGATGGCTAGTATTACTGAACTGCTTTTTTCCGTAGAGACATATTTATGTCAGGCACTGTAGACAAGCAAGTGGGTTTTTCCAAAGTGAGTGAGAGTGAGTTTCGTTTTATGGCGATATTAGCAATATTCCAGCAATATCACGGCGGGGGACACCAGAAATGGGCTTCGCACATTGTACCCACATGGGGAATCGATCCCAGGTCTTTGGCGTCACGAGCGAACGCTTTAACCACTAGACTGCCTTTTTCCCAAAGTGGCGTAGATAATATAGGAAACTACTATTACAAAGGCACATCTTTGTTTTTCATTGCTTGTGAAGCATCATGACCTCTTTTTAATGAAATGTCACAAATACTTACAGATTACGTTTTTCCATTGTATATATCACAGATGGCATTCTGACATTGACTTGTATAAGGTCTCAATTTGTGACCTGATACACGACTTTAAAATGACTTTATGTGATATCTAGAATAACCGTTTACTCAGAATTAGATTTCACTTGCCCGGGTATAATTAATTCAGTCAGGACAATACTCGGTAATTCGCGGTAGTTCCATTATATGGCTAGCCCTTGAAGATCCTTGTTGGAACCTTCTTCAGCGAGAAGGCGGCTAGTGGGATCAAGGGGTGTGGCTTACTGACTGACCAATATACTGACCAATTATGTCAATCACTGGATTGTCTGATCCAGACTTGAATATTCTTGTATTCTTATATAGACTTGGTTGATAGATGTCATCATATCTCAACTGAATAGAACGATACTCGTTATGTCAATCACTGGATTGCCTGTCCAGACTCGAATATTCACATTTTGCTGTGATATAGCTAGAATATTGTTGAGTACGGCGTTAAACGATATAAAAAATAATCTTACTACCATATTATTGTTTACAGTTGATGCCATACATCAGAACAAAGTGTCCGAGGCTTTTGTCCGGGAGCAGATGAAACCCCTCCTCTACACCAGACTCAGACTCGGAGAGTTCGACCCCCGGGAGATGAACCCTTACAACTACCTTGACATTGATGACGTCGTGCTGAGCTCCACACACCGACAGCTGGCTGTAGAGGCAGCCACCAAGAGTTTCGTCCTGCTGAAAAATATCAATAGCTTTTTACCTATCAAGACACGTTATAACCACATTGCTGTGAGTTTCATTGTAACTTCTGGATTAGACGTATATGTTAGGAACCAACGTCTCGATGTAAAGACCAAAAGCAAAATACACTGCTGAAATTAGATTTCAATTCCTTTGACCAGTATGTGAATTTTTAGCACAGCACAGCCAGACAATGTATAATTCAGTTATAATTGTTTACATGTCGAGCTTAAATGAAATACATGGACTTCCTTCAAAGATTTCCTTCAAAATTGACCAATAAACTTATTCTGTTATATTAAGAATTTTTCAACACGGATGAAAACAGAAAAAATTAAATGCTGCCGTTTTTAATGCATAAAGACACATCTGGGAATGCTCAAACTCTTTCAAAATTGACCAATAAGCTCATTCCTATTTCTTAAGACATTAGCAATACGGATACATACAGAAATAAAATGCGGCCGTGTTTAATGCTTCAAGAAATGCTCCTGTAGGGGACAACAAGAGGGTTTATAAACACAAATGCAATTCGCGGACACCTGGTATCAAGGCAGCTCATTAAACCACAGGGGCGATCGGGTAGCCTAGTGGTTAAAGCGTTGGCTCGTCACGCCGAAGACCCGGGTTCGATTCCCGACATGGGTACATTGTGTGAAGCCCATTTCTGGTGTCCCCCGCCATGATATTGCTGGAATATTGCTAAAAGCGGCGTAAAACCATACTCACTCACTCATTAAACCACATGTCAATAAAGAGTCGAAGGAAATGTGATAAGAAGTTTTCATCAATTTTATTAAACACGGTTGTCAAAGGTTATGTCCATTGACTTTATGAATATTATGCTTAAGTATTGAAATCGCACTTTATCAATTTGTTTTAAACATATGTATATTGTGAAGTTATAGTGTCGACAAATACATTGATGCATGTTCATTGTGGCAGTGTTCCTTATCTGGGTCCACTTGCACAAAGCGATCTTAGCGCTAAGATGATCTTAACTCCCATACTTTAACATAGACTTACAATCGTCTTAGCGCTAAGATCGTTTTGCACAAGTGGACCCTGGTACCTGCACCCGTCCTTTGCATATATATTATTATTGCATTACATACATTATACTGGCAAATCGCATCACGATTTCATCAAGAGGTGAGTCCTTTAACCCATGATTCGTCACTGATTCTGATCCAACCTCTTTTCCAGGTGGTAGGCCCCATGGCAAATGACAGCCAGCAGGTGTTTGGTGACTACGCCCCAAGTCCCGACCCCCGCTATATCACCTCTCCCCTGTCCGGACTGGTCAGACTGGGCACTACGGCCACCCACGCTGCCGGCTGCTCCAGCACCTTCTGCACGGACTACAGCAAGACGGATGTGGTTAAGGCGCTGCAAGGAGCTGACGTGGTGTTCGTGTGTCTAGGAACAGGTGAGAACTCCGCAGCAACACTGAACGAAAACGCTACTGAAGGAAATGAAATTAACTGGCAGCCAAAAGAACCTTGGCCATAGTTTTAAATGGTAATGCAGGAATGGTGCACATGCACATAAATATAGACGCTCATAGTCACATAACTGCCGATCCTCAGTTGGACTTTAATCACGTGAACAAAACTCCATGTTGAAATTTATTTCAGCAAAATGGATAAAACAAATTAAAATAAACTTTGCACTTTTGTCATTACTGTAAATTTTCACAATATAGGTATTGGCAAACATGGAGCAATCTTCGTCAATTAATCATGTCGATATTTCATGATTTCATTTCGTGGTCGCTTTTGAACTCGACGATCCGTGACATTCCAGAGGTGTTCTAAGGGTGTGTGTGAGGGTGGGGTTTGGGGGGGTGGGGGGGGGGGGTGGGGGGGTGGTAGGGCATGTCTTGGGTGCGTGCAGGCCATGGCATCACGTTGGGGTTGTTGGCTGCAAGTACGTTTTGTTCGATTCGGATTGTTAGGGGTTTTGGCGTTGTCTTGCTTATTAACGACACAACGTGGAAGCTGTTGTGGAAATGATTGGACAGTCGGTCAAAGAATGTCATCCATGTAACGCTGAGGTGTTTCTGCTGGCCACGAATTCCTCCCCACACCCTAACACCCCCTCCACCACAAGACACAACCTCCTGGTCGTAACATGCCGCCGTTTGTTCCCCAATTCGGTGGTAAACACGCTGTCTTCCATCAGCTATGAACAGACAGAACCGGCTTTCATCTGTGAAGGCGAACCTCTGCCAGTCCGGGCCCATCTCAATCTCTAGTGACCGTATTGATATATCTGTCAATAATTGGCCTCTGTGAAGCCTAATTCCTTGAAGCCTGAGTCACCTGGCCACTGTCTGTCGACTAACCATATGCCCTAAGGTATTGGTCGCTGAAGACGTCATTGTCAGGAATAAATTCCGGAAATGCGAAGTGTGCAAGCCCCGGTTTTCATTGGGCTTAGTTACCCTGAGTCTGATCAGGGCTCAATATGTCTACCGGCCGGTCTGTCTGTCAGATTAGTTACAGCAACACTGAAGCTACCAAACGTTCCAGCAATGTTGGCATGGGTGGCTCCCATATTATCATACCCAGAGCCTTCTCCGTGGTGTTTTTTTTATTAAGTAAGAGTGTCTGACATGCATTCCGTATCATTTATATACCCTTATTGCGCATGAAGCTTCAGTTGCCCAAGCGGCACGGGTTTTTTCACACTTCCGCATTTTCTGCAAACATACGTGCCGTGGACATGTATTACTTTCTGCATTGTGCATTGTAGTATTTGGACGATTTTTTGCACTAATTTAGCTTGAACTTCGGGAGGGGGGGAATGTTCGTTATTTCTTTTTTAAAGTGGTTAAGTTTCTTTTGGCCGTCAGTTTATGAATCTACGTGGTTGTTTACAATGATTGATGTTATATTTGCTTGTAATACTATCATTTCCCGTACAGTTGACCGCAATACGGCAATACTAACCGAATATTATTTGACTTCCATTCTTCAGCGAGGGCACGGGTGGCCCAGTCGTCTAAGGCGTCGCGATTCGCCGTGTAGATTTGCGTCCCTTTGGCATGCCAGAAACCTTTGATTGTGGGTTTGAATCCCGGTTTGCCCGATTAGGTTTGTCAGCACCATACCCGTGCTCGTGGGTTTCACCGAAGTGGTAAACGTCTGAGACCTGCATCACTTCGGGCTTACCTCACACATTAAGCTGTCACGCCGTGATATAACTGGAATACTGTTAAAAAAGCAGAGTTTACCCCATCTCACTCCCTCACTCCCTCACTCACTCATCCATCAACAGGCTATGTGATTGACTTGAGTGGTTATTATAAGGTACAATGTTTGAACAATATGAATGGAAACCCACCCGAAGCAATTCCCTCCTCATATATAGGAGTCGTATCGAAATATTGCAGAATTAGGCAAAGACTGATTTGTTTCGACAATTTGATACCAGGGGTGACAGGCAGGTGGAGGACGCAATGAAGTGACATTTCTCTGTGATGTACAGGTCAGGCTATAGAGGGGGAGGGAAAAGACCGACACAACATCTCTCTTCCGGGACAGCAACTGCAGCTTCTTCAGGACGTCGTCAGCAACAGTGAGACAACGTCTACTTCATCTGCATCATCTACATCATCTGCATCATCTGCATCATCTACATCATCTGCATCATCTACATCATCTTCATCATCTACAGGGCGGTCGGGTAGCCTAGTGGTTAAAGCGTTCGCTCGTCACGCCGAAGACCCGGGTTCGATTCCCGACATGGGTACAATGTGTGAAGCCCATTTCTGGTGTCCCCCGCCGTGATATTGCTGGAATATTGCTAAAAGCGGCGTAAAACCAAACTCACCCACTCACTAGTCAATATCCACGAAAGAGGTGTTCAATTGCAGGAATTAATAAAGTAATATCATACATTTATTGTTAAGCAGGAGGATCATGCGAGCTCATATCATACTGCAACGTCATCAACATTTACATTTCAAACCACAATACAGTAAACTACGTTTATAACGAACACGCTTATAACGAACTGACGGATGTAACGAACTTACTTCTTGTCCTTACTATTTGCTGTAGTTATGCTGTGTATATGCATATAACAAACTACGGCTATAACGAACTAGAATTAATGGTCCCTTTGAGTTCGTTATAACCGTAGTTTACTGTACCAAATTAGCTGACGTTTTGCCTGAATGCTCACGGAAAAAAGATGCTACTATAAAATACGCCCGTCTGCATAGATCATTGTCAGATGTAATAAGCATGAGGTTTTGTCCAGTGTTTTGATATTTGGCACAGCTTGGCCTCCATATAAACCTGGTTGTATTGTATATCTGCTTCCAATATTGTGATCTAGTAAATATTCGAGTATATTCAGACAAGCTACAGATCCTCGAAACGCTATTGTTTCAACCAGTACATGCCACCAGTCGTGGTCACGTAAGGATTTATACTGATGACATTATGGTATTAATGTTACCTCAGTAGGAGAACCCGACGTCATGTACCGTAAAGTACGGTTATAACGAACTCAAAGGGACTACTAATTTTAGTTCGTTATAACCGTAGTTCGTTATAAGCATATATACAGCATAACCACAGCAAATAGTCGGGACCAAAAAGTAAGTTCGTTATATCCGTCAGTTCGTTATAAGCGTGTTCGTTATAACCGTAGTTTCCTGTAGCTGGAATATTTCTGAGTGCGGCTTTAAACAACAATCAAACAAACAGTAGGAGAGCCATTATTGTCTGATTGTTTTAAAAACGGTTCTTATTTTCTCGATTTAGTTTTAGTTCACAGTTTTGAATATATTATGAGTTTCAAATCTAATTTATGTCATTATCGTAAACATTATGCTGATTTACTGCTGATTGTTATTCTTTAATTCTGATCAAGGTCATCGATTACACGTCTCTCTTTACGATGCAAGCACTCCTTTCGATTTTAGCCGACAAGCCCGTCGTGTTGCTTTTGATCAACGGCGGCCCCCTCAACATCGGATGGGCGACAGCAAACCCACGCGTCGTCGCCATTTTGGAATGTTTCTATCCGGCTCAGGCAGCAGGTGACGCCATTTTGTCTTCTCTGGCCAACCTTGGGGTGGGGTCTGTGCCAGCCGCCAGACTGCCCTTCACGTGGCCGAGCAGTGAAAGCCAGGTGAGAGTTTATACACCTTGTTGTGGTCAATGACTGATAAGCCGGTCATAGTGTCAGCTAACCCGACCCATAGCCTAGAAGTCGTTCTCTTAGTACTGTCGTACCACGCTAGAACAAAATACTAACCATAGGTCTCTGAAAATAGCATATATCAAAATAATGCATATCTATCTATTTTAGGCTATCCCAACTGACACTGTGATTAAACCTAACATTTACAGGTGAAATGATAATGAACAGCCTTATTACCAATATACAATGATAACCCCAAGGGTGAGATGTAGTGGTCTACGAATATTACTATAGCATTCAGGTGAGGTTAGGTGAAATGGGGTTTAACGTCGCGTCCAAGATTATTGCACTTATATAGCGACGTGCATGTACGTGTTTGTGTGTCTGCTTGCTTGTCCGGACTGATGCCGATTTATAGTGCTAGCACACTGAGATACCATGCCGCAGTTTAACATGAATACCCCACTCAGACACAGTATTCTGACTCCGAGCCGACCAGTCCTTGTTTAAGCCCCCTAATGCCGAGCGCCAGACAGGGTAACAACAAGTACCTTCTTTTAACGTCTTTTAGTATGACGCGGCCGGGGATCGAACCCCGGACCTTCCGCTCTCCGGACGCTCTACCACAAGACCACGGAGGCGGTCCTATAGCATTCAGAGCAATTTAACACATAAAACTTCATTCACGATAAGTTGCTAATACAGTCCGCGACAATCCTGTCTTTTCATGTTAATTCGCCAACACAACTGTCCTTGGCCTTTTACAAATCAACACTGAGGATGATTTGTAGAGTTCTTATAACAAATTTCCACATTGAACATTGAACTGAAATCTGATCTTTGTATTTTCGTTCGAATTTTTCTCCTGTGAAATTGTCGATAGGACTCTTTGTGACTCAAATACTTCAAACCACAGGTAGGTAGCGGAACTAGGCACGTGTAGATTTTAAACTAATCACTACAACTTCGCATCATATTGGCACATATATTTTGCTGTATAAATTAATACATAAACATCAATACTCAACTGGTGGGCAGTATACAAATACAAATTCCATGCCAGGTGCATTGACGGGAAGTAAATCCGTACTCCGTCTGTCCGTGACGCCTCGTCTCCCGAACATTACTTATACATTGTTTGATAGGCATTAGAGTAAACTACGGTTATAACGAACTCAAAGGGACCACTAATTTTAGTTCGTTATAACCGTAGTTCGTTATACGCATATATATACAGCATATGTACAACAAATGGCCGGGACTATAAATAAGTTCCTTGTATCGGTCAGTTCGTTATAAGCGTGTTCGTTATAACCGTAGTTTACTGTACTTAGAAGTTGACGGGTGACGAAGTAGTCGATTGTGCGTGGTTATTTCCCGATTTCACTGTTTAGTTCATTTAAAGATTGACTTGTATTTTTTTCGGTTCATTGAGGTCAGGGTTAGTGTTAGGGTTAGGGATAGGATTAGGATTAGGGTTAGCGTAGCGGATTCTTACAAAATTTGCACATCGGTTTTTCGATTCATACCTGAAAAAAAATACACAGTCAATGCTTATAATTACATTCGACAACGAAAACATGTTTGATCTACAATAGTTTAACCAAAAACAGTTGTATATAGCAAAACAGACAAAAATGACGAGATTGATAAACATTCCAGGTGTAGGAATACATACTGTGGCGTGACATGAATCAGGTGATTGTTTAATTTATGCCCACATCTTAACACGCCTACAAAGTCGGTAGCCAATCAACGGAGAGTATAATAAAAACAAAGTTCACAGGACCTGTCAATCAAGGCAAGAGGCGAGAAGAATTGCAACAGTCAGGCTGTAACGAACCGGAACAAATATGTCCGGGAGAAGGCGGCTGTTTCAAATGACATGGTCAGTCACCGCCAGATTCAAACATCAGGTCCTTGAGAACGGGAAAACACAGTTGGAAAAATGCTAGTTAGAAATGAAACCCGAAGACATGGAAGTTGTGGCGAGCGGGAAAAAACAGGCGAGCGAGCCTGCACGTTTGCTGTTTCATTCCATCTCGGCCTTCGGTCTCAAAGAGTTGTTTGGACAATGTTTATGCATGAATTTCGCCTTATGTCCTGTGCATGACGATACACGTGAGCAGAAAGGGAATTCCCTCGACTGTAATATTGGGATTCCCAGACATTGCGTAGTTATAAAGGTAGTCCGCCTCTGTGGGCGTGGCTAATTTTTTTACATTCATTGGGGAATGAATGCAATAACACGTGACCCATTCAGCTAATCAGAATGCAGGAATTTCAATGAACACAACGAAAATTTAAATATAATTGGTTAACCCTGAAATCGGTTTGTACAGAGGCATGTGTGTATGTACAGCCAGCCTTCTACAAAACTGTCACATCACGAAACTTCTCGAATGATGTAGCAGACCACCATCTCCCCGAGGCAAGAGAGTTAACTGACTTTTGTCTAACTAGGCTGGAATTACTGTCCTCGATCGTAGCGCCACCAGTGGCTATTACCAGTTCTGTCCCTTCTAAGCTTCTCCTATGGACCAATCAGATTCAACCTCTCGTATCACTTGCGTTTGCTTCACACAAAATGGTGGCGCCCAGTCTGGACGATCTGATCGATAATCAAGATCTATATTGTGATAAAACGGGTCTTACATCGCGAAATGCATCAAATCACGTGAGCACCTTTGTTAAAAACATGAAAAGATTTGGAAAATATCTGTTGACAACGAGTTGGCGCTGCACATGTTTTGCAAATCCTGCAATCGACTGAAATCTGCCCGACAGTTTACGAACCGGATTTCGATTTCGGTACGCGATTTTGATTGGACTATGCATAGACTCGTTAGTCCAGCCAAAATGTAACTCCGTAATACCAGCCTAGTTCGGCAAGGGTGGAAACTGGACTTTTATAGTCAGTTAACTCTCTTGCCTCGGGAAGATGCAGACCGCTGAAATCTGGCCACATCAAAGTTCGATATTTTACGAGCGACTCAGTCAATTTGTTGCACCTGACAATTTACACCACCAGTGCTACTGATACCAACTGCCACATAACACCATCCGTAGGAAAATACTCACGGACGAACCAACACAAACATTTTGGCAAGTACATTTTAAGCAGCAGATCAGTTACCGTTTTCACTGCATGGTTTTAGTTCTCTTAATCTCCCCTTGCAGATTCCGCCCATGGTGAACTACTCAATGGCTGGGCGGACATACTGGTACTTTGATGGAGAGCCTGCCTTCCCCTACGGCTACGGCCTGTCGTACACGACGTTCAGATATGCTGACTTTACCTGCGACATCACCGTCATGGCCGGGGAGGGGCTGTGGTGTAGCGTCACTGTCTACAACACCGGGCCATATGACGCTGATGAGGTCAGTTTACATAGAGTAGACACAAAGATTAGGTGACTCTCTACAACACCGGGCCATATGACGCTGATGAGGTCAGTTTACGTAGAGTAGACACAAAGATTAGGCGACTCTCTACAACACCGGGCCATATGACGCTGATGAGGTCAGTTTACATAGAGTATATACACTAAGATTAGGTGACTCTCTACAACACCGGGCCATATGACGCTGATGAGGTCAGTTTACAAAGAGTATACACAAAGATTAGGTGACCGTCTACAACACCGGGCCATATGACGCTGATGAGGTCAGTTTACATAGAGTATATACACAAAGATTAGGTGACTCTCTACAACACGGGGCCATATGACGCTGATGAGGTCAGTTTACAAAGAGTATACACAAAGATTAGGTGACCGTCTACAACACGGGGTCATATGACGCTGATAAGGTCAGTTTAAGTAGAGTATACACAAAGATTAGGTGACTGTCTACAACACCGGGTCATATGACGCTGATAAGGTCAGTTTGCATAGAGTATACACAAAGATTAGGTGACTCTCTACAGCACAGGGCCATATGACGCTGATGAGGTCAGTTTAAGTAGATTATACACAAAGATTAGGTGACTCTCTACAACACCGGGCCATATGACGCTGATGAGGTCAGTTTAAGTAGATTATACACAAAGATTAGGTGACTCTCTACAACACCGGGCCATATGACGCTGATGGGGTCAGTTTACAAAGAGTATACACAAAGATTAGGTGACCGTCTACAACACGGGGTCATATGACGCTGATGAGGTCATTTTACGTAGAGTATACACAAAGATCAGGTGACTCTCTACAGCACAGGGTCATATGACGCTGATGAGGTCAGTTTAAGTAAAGTATACACAAAGATTAGGTGACTGTCTGGAACACGGGGCCATATGACGCTGATGAGGTCAGTTTACGTAGAGTATACACACAGATGAGGTGACTCTCTACAACACCGGGTCATATGACTCTGATGAGGTCAGTTTACGTAGAGTATACACACAGATGAGGTGACTGTCTACAGCACAGGGTCATATGACGCTGATGAGGTCAGTTTAAGTAGAGTATACACAAAGGTTAGGTGACTCTCTACAACACGGTGTCATATGACTCTGATGAAGTCAGTTTTTTAAAAATGCAACAGGCAGCATGTGAGTTTGAGACAGTGCTTATGGTCCTATTCTTTGCTACATGCTACCTTGCTTAAATTCAGCAGCCTATTTGTTAACAGTTAGCATGTATGTTTTTGCTATTATTTTCAGTCCCGTGAAGATTCTGGGTTAGAATTGGTCTTTAGCAACTATGTTTGCCGTAAGAGGCGACTAACGGGGTTGGGTGGTCAGGCTCGCTGACTTAGCTGATGCATGTCATCGTATCTCAATTGTGTAGATCGATGCGCAAGATATCAATCATTGGATTGTCTGGTCCAGACTTGATTGTTTACAGACTGCCGCCATATAGCTGGAAAATTGCTGAGTGTGGTGTTAAGCAACAAACAAACCAAACATACCAAACCATCGAATCGTCCACATATCATATCAGTATTATTTTCATGTAGATCCTCTGGCGCCCTTTTTATGCAGGTACAATTTCTCTCACTCATATAGGGGGCACGGGTGGCCCAGACGTCTAAGGCGCCGCGATTCGCTGTGCAGAGTTGCGTCCTTTGGCAATTTGCAGTATATATACTGTATGAATACTTATTACGAACTATGGGTATAACGAACTAGAATTAGAGCTCCCTTTGAGTTCGTTATATCCGTAGTTTACTGTACAATTACCATCCTGTAACTTGGGGTTATGTTTCCAACATTAAAGATACGTTCCACTTTTAAACAAACCAGCTATTGTAGGGCCATCGAATGGAGGTCAGTGGGAGTATCGTGACGAAACTGATAATGTTGTATACTACAGTAAACTACGGTTATAACGAACTCGAAGGGACCACTAATTTTAATTTGTTGTAACCGTAGTTCGCTATAAGCAAATGTACGGAATATATACAGCAAATAGACAGGACCAAAAACAGTTCGTTATATCCGTCAGATCGTTATAAGCGTGTTCGTTATAACCGTACTTTGCTGTATAAATATTTCCAAAGCGTTGCTGTTGCCCGCATCATCAACTTGTTGATAGTCGTGAATGAAACGTGTTCTATTGTTGACTTTGCAGGTCTCCCAGGCCTATATGTCGTGGCAAAATACCTCACTTCCTGTACCCAGAATTCAACTGGTAGGGTTCACCAGGACATTCATTGCGTCCGGTAGGTCGGCGGTCTATGAGTTCACACTGGACCCCAAGAAGATGGCTGTGTGGACAGATAACGATGGATGGGCGGTTCTTCCAGGTACATTTCATCACTAAATGGAATAATGTTTTCTGTGCCAGGTAATGAGCTTCTGTGTCCCGCCCCTTCAACATCACGATATATCATGCATGTCACCGTATCACAATTGCGTGGATCGATGCTCATGATGTCAATCACTTGATTGTCCTGTCCAGACTTGATTATTTACAGACCGCCGTCATATAGCTGGAATATTGCTGAGTGCGGCGTTAAAAAACAAACAAACCAAACCATCGAGTCGTCCACACATTATGTTAGTCAAAATAGTTAAATTCGCTTCTTTGTACGCAAATGAACGTAGTTATTGTTAACTTATGATATAGTCGGAATCGTACAACTGGCTATGCTTTTAGCAGTGATTTCCCGTGATTATGGAATGGTTTTATCGCTTATAGTGACAGTATTCTGGCGGTGAGAGACATGTGTCGGTTTTCAATTCAGGTGCGATGAACATCTATGTTGGAGGCCAGCAGCCCAATCAGCGGATGTCTGTCGGATCTAACGTGGAACAGAGACAGTTTCAAATTATAGGAACGAAAATATTAGGAAAATACTAAACTGTCAAGATCATTTCTTACTTTGTGATGTTGTTGATTTGGGAGATAAACCTTTGTTTCAATTAAGAGGTATGAACATGTCCATCTTCCTGAGGCAAGGGTGTTAACTGACTGTAAAACTCCAGTTTCCACTGGACTTTTATAGTCAGTTTACTCCCTTGTCTCGGGAAGACCGGACCTGTATGTCTGTATATATCACTGGAAACCGAAAGCGTCAGCCTCCAAATTAGTTTCTTTCCAATCAATCATGATAAAAAAACAATAAAGACGTAAAACTCTGTGGTGATAGTGGAAGTGGTGAGTGACAGAAATAGTTGGTGAAGTTTACTGTCGGCTCAAACACTAACCTGTCTTCTTTTCATGATTTACTAACTGCAATAGTATATTTACTAAGCTTATAGTAAGTTTTACTTCACTTTCATAAAGCCCCGTTTCTTGGTCATTTTTGCAAAAAACAAGTAAATAACAAATGGTATAAACCATACAGGTGAAAGATGACACTGACCATGACGGAAGTGAGGAAGGTCACGTGGTCTCGACGCCGAAACTGAAATACGTGTGATCGTACACTTCTCTTCTCAGCTGCCGCATGCAATCTACCAGGCAATATAGTAAATTCGATTTTTTTTTTCTAGCCTTCTGACTGCTGTTACTTATTAAGTTAGTTGAATTCACTAGACTTTTGTCTCAGTGTGGCAGCGGTTAAGTTTAATAAGGTTAAATGGTCAAATTCACGGATACATGACGATAGGAGTTAATCCTCGTATTAACGCTTTCATATACCTGAACCGTACTTTACAAGATAACATTTCTATAATAAATACATACAACAACTAATATTTCTCCTATGATAACTGTATGAGACAGTATAATCACCTAGAGACTATAAGAGACACTATAAAAATTATTCGAATAACAATTTGAGGTGGCGCTTGGGATTTTTCTATTTCAAACATTTTCTATTTAATTGTCCCAGATATTGTTTGAAAAAATCATTATACTTCAGACTGTTGATAAGAAAGGAATACAAACTATACATTGTTTCAGGATGGTATCGGTATTTTAAAAAATAAAGATCATAGTTTTGAAAAAAACATATCGGCAACAAATGCCAACGCTCGGATGTTGGTAAATTTTACAATACACGCTTTCAGTCGATGTTTGCCGACGGTGTTTTCCCTTCAATTGGCATTACATTGGCACATATTCCAGAAGGCACTACGCGGTATTTTGCTTCCCTGTTGTCCTCTCCCCTCTCACCGTATCTGTCACCAGATTTTTGTTGACGCAGGCGGGGATACCTTTGATACTGGAATACACGTAGTTCCGTTGGCGTCCGTGAAGATCCGGATAAGAGTTGGTCTTCAACAAGCCATGCTTGTCGTAATAGGCGACTAATGGGATCGGATAATCAAGTTTGATGACTTGGTTGATGCATGTCATCGCATCCCATTGCGTGGATCGATGCTCATGATTTATTTGCAGACCGCCGTTATACAGCTGGAATGTTGATGAGTGCGGAGTTAAATAACAAACAAGCAAACATACTTGGTTGTTGAGTAAAATCAGTTGTTGAAATTGCCTACCGCGGATTTGTTGTGTAATGTTTTATAATGTAACTAATGTTCCTAACGCTGTGATGTGGTAGTCAATAAAATCAACGTAAACTCGATTACGATGGCAGACCAATCAGAATGCAGGATTCTAAAATGCCATGGTGGCATTGTGATTATATTATGGTGTTACTCGTCATGTATGTATTGATGTAGAAAGAGGAATATTAAGAAGACCATCGGAACAACTGGGGAATTATTCTTAAGTAACTTCGGGCGGTCGGGTAGCCTAGTGGTTTAAGCGTTCTCTCGTCTCGTCTTCCCCACATATGTGTGAAGGCCATTTCTGGTGTCCCCGCCGTGATATTGCTGGAATATTGCTAAAAGCAACAGAACAACACAACATCAGCTACAACAACATCACGACTCAACGACGACGCTACCACAATACAATGCAACACTACACCAATACAAAGGCGGTGGGGTAGCCAAGTGGTTAAAGCGGTCGCTCGTCACGCCGAAGGCCCGGGATTGATTCCCCATATGGGTACAAAAAAGCCAATTTCTGGTGTCCCCCGCCGTGATATTGTTTACAATATAAAAATTGCTAAAGGCGGCGTAAAAACTCCCTCCCTCCCTCACCCACCCGCCCGCCCGCTCACTCACTCACCCACTCACTCATTTACTCACTCACTCACTCACTCACTCACTCACTCACTCAAACACCCGACCACCCACCCACTCACTCACTCACACACCCACTCACCCACCCACTCACTCACTAAGTCACTCACTCACTCACTCACTCACAGGGGATCCTAGGCTATCATAGTTCCCTAGTAACGTATGCTTCCCACACCGAATAGGATGGCTAAACCGTAACGGTGACTTGGAGCTCTGATACTTCATCCACGTGTGTTCCCAACACGGCTGTGACAACAACACAATACTGCCTGCAGACGCGAGTGTGCAAAAATGAAGGCTGACAATTAAAGTTTGGCCGCTGGAATGTTCATCCTGATGGCGTGATATAGATAACGCTCGTGCAAGAGATCTGCTTCATTGCAGTAAACATTTATAAAACCTGCACATTAAAACAACTCGGCTTTGATAGAGATTTAACTGTGGAGATATTTGACTAGCCCCCGGCTGTAGATGACTTTGCCTCCGCACAAGCAGGGCGCTCAGTTGAACAGTGATGTATGTAGACCGCGATCACTCAGGCGTGACGGTGTGAACGCCGACGGAAACACCACTTGTATATACAGTTGCATACATTCGGCAATCAACACTTGCGTGTGTATCCCTAGATGTAATGACTATATAGGTAGGTACGTAGATAACGCTACCACCGTGACGTGACATCCTTGTAACAGTTCAATGGTGTCAAGAATGAGACCAAGGATATGAATGATGTTTTCAAGGATGTGTGCCATGTATTCAAGGAACTCACCGGCTCAAGGAATCGTGTCCAAGGAATCCATTTCTGGATTATGGTAAAACTTCTTCTTATCCAGTGATTGATATCATGAGCATCGATGTACCCAATTCTTCTCTGTATTACTATACGTGTTAATAGCAATGCATTATTGTGCTTGTTTGATGTTTATCGCCACATTCAGAAACATTCCAGCGATATGATGGCGGTCTGTAAATAGCCGTGTTTGGACCACACAATCCTGTGATTGATATCATGAGCATCGATGTACCCAATTGGGATATGACATATTAATTCAAGTCAGGGAGTCTGACCACCCTATCATGTTAGTCGCCTCTAACGACAAGCATGGGTTGTTGAAGATGAACCTCCTTCCTTGACTAAATTAACTCCATAAATCGTGGAATCTTAGTGTGCTTGTTGTCCTGATGCTTGTCTAATGTTTGGCCTGATGCTAGCTCACTGAGATGCCATGCTGCAGTGTAACATGGGTGCCCCACTCAGACACAGTATACTTACTCCGAGCCGACCAGTCCTTGTTTTAGCCCCGTTATACCGAACCAAGCAGGGTAACAACAAGTACCACTTTAACGCCTTTTGGTATGACGAGTAGTATGTAGTAGGACGAGAATGTAGTAGAACGAGAATGTAATGGGAGAGAATGTAGCAGGGCGAGAATGTAGTAGGACCAGAATGTATTAGGACGAGAATGTAACATGGCGAGAATGTAGCAGGACGAGAATCTAGTAGGACGAGAATGTAGCAGGATGAGAATGTAGCAGGGTGAGAATGTAGTAGGACCAGAATGTATTAGGACGAAAATGTAACATGGCGAGAATGTAGCAGGACAAGAATGTATTAGGACAAGAATGTAACATGGCGAGAATGTAGCAGGACCAGAATGTATTAGGACGAGAATGTAACATGGCGAGAATGTAGCAGGACCAGAATGTATTAGGACGAGAATGTAACATGGCGAGAATGTAGCAGGACGAGAATCTAGTAGGACGAGAATGTAGCAGGATGAGAATGTAGCAGGACGAGAATGTAGTAGGACGTGAATGTAGCAGGGCGAGAATGTAGCAGGGTGAGAATGTAGTAGGACCAGAATGTATTAGGACAAGAATGTAACATGGCGAGAATGTTGACGAGAATGTAGTAGGACGAGAATGTAGTAGGACGAGAATGTAGTAGGACGAGAATGTAGCAGGACGAGAATGTAGTAGGACGAGAATGTAGCAGGACGAGAATATAGTAGGACGAGAACGTAGCAGGACGAGAATGTAGTAGGACGAGAATGTAGAAGGACGAGAATGTAGTAGGACGAGAATGTAGTAGGACGAGAATGTAGCACGACGAGAATGTAGCAGGACGAGAATGTAGTAGGACGAGAATGTAGCAGGACGAGAATGTAGCAGGACGAGAATGTAGTAGGACGAGAATGTAGCAGGACGAGAATGTAGTAGGACGAGAATGTAACATGGCGAGAATGTAGTAGGGCGAGAATGTAGTAGGACGAGAATGTAACATGGCGAGAATGTAGTAGGGCGAGAATGTAGTAGGACGAGAATGTAACATGGCGAGAATGTAGTAGGGCGAGAATGTCGAAGGATGAGAATGTAGTAGGACGAGAATGTAGTAGGACGAGAATGTAACATGGCGAGAATGTAGTAGGGCGAGAATGTAGTAGGACGAGAATGTAGCAGGACGAGAATGTAGCAGGACGAGAATGTAGTAGGACGAGAATGTAGTAGGACGAGAATGTAGTAGGGCGAGAATGTAGTAGGACGAGAATGTAGCAGGACCAGAATGTAGTAGGGGAGAATGTAGCAGGACGAGAATGTAGCAGGACCAGAATGTAGTAGGGGAGAATTAGCAGGACGAGAATGTAACATGGCGAGAATGTAGTAGGACGAGAATGTAACATGGCGAGAATGTAGTAGGACGAGAATGTAACATGGCGAGAATGTAGTAGGGGAGAATTAGCAGGACGAGAATGTATTTGGGCGAGAATGTAGTAGGACGAGAATGTCGAAGGATGAGAATGTAGTAGGGCGAGAATGTAGGAGGACGAGAATGTAGTAGGACGAGAATGTAGCAGGACGAGAATCTAGTAGGGGAGAATTAGTAGGACGAGAATGTAGTAGGACGAGAATGTAACATGGCGAGAATGTAGTAGGGCGAGAATGTAGTAGGACGAGAATGTAACATGGCGAGAATGTAGTAGGACGTGAATGTAGCAGGACGAGAATGTAGTAGGACGAGAATGTCGTTTGACGAGAATGTCGTTTGACGAGAATGTAGTAGGACGAGAATGTAGTAGGACGAGAAAATAGTAGGGGAGAATGAAGTAGGACGAGAATGTAGTAGGACGTGAATGAAGAATGTAGTAGGACAAGAATGTCGTAGGACGAGAATGTAGTTAAACAAGAATGCGAGAATGTCCCTACAGACAGTGTTCCATAGTTTTCCACAGATTACCATGTTGGTCTAGGCAACCATGCACTCTCACTGTCTCGACGTCAGGTTATCAAAGGTAATCAAATAGAAACACTGCCAACATTTGCTGTTCCGGGCTACATCATGAGGTTTTCACGTACACAGTTTTCCAGCTGTCGTGCCATTTGGTCAGAATAGACGTGTTTGTGATAATCGTGGTCATGTGCACATATAGTACATACCCGCAAAGAGTTCACCTTCCCGTGAAGATCCGGGTCTTCGTGCTTTAGTGATCAATGAGATAAAAGTCACATTTGGAAAACTAATACATTATCATGAATTTCAGTAGCATGAATTATATAACTACCATAGATATGGTCTAAATCTCTGAAATGCTTCGATACATCTCTGTCGGGGAACTTGTCAGGAAGAGAATATATGGATGTCAACTTCTTATTATGAGGAACACAACGTTTCGGAGTATATACTTACTCCCTCGTCAGAAGTAAAACATATACCCCGAAACGTTATGTTCCTCATAATAAGAAGTTGACATCGATATATTTTCTTCCTCGTGTGAATCACTTCTAAGCGCCATTCAAAGACCTGATCAGACTTAAGAGGCGACTAACGGGATCGGGTGGTCAGGCTCGCTCGTTGGTTTATGCATCTCACCTTATCCCAATTGCGTAGATCGATTGTCCTGATGTCAATCACTGGATCGTCTGGTCCAGACTCGATTATATTCAGAACGCCGTCATATAACTTGAATATTGCTGAGTGCGGCGTTAAATAGAGAATCTCACCCTCGTGTCTCTTGATATGAAATATATCAACACGAGTTGATAAAAGTGGGAAAACTCCGAGGCTTGCCGAGGATTTTTTTCCACTTTTATCAACGAGTGTTGATATATTTGATATCAAAAGACACGAGGGTGAGATTTTGTTTATCATCCAACATCATTCTTCCAATTGCAACTTTTTCAATTTGTAGACAGGAATTAGCAGTGTCTTCAGTGTAAAATATACTGCTAACAGCTTTAGTAACAGAGCCATAAGTGATGTCATTTGATTGTGACGTCATGGTAACCAGTGACGTCACAATGGTCTGCAAAGCATTGTGATGTAATTTCATTGCAGCGATGTCTGCAGTGTAGATATCACTTGATCTCATCCAAGCGATATCTCCTGTGGGAGCCAGTTTTGGATGATAAATAGAGAATCTCACCTGAGTGTCTTTTGATATCAAATATATCAACACGAGTTGATAAAAGTAGGAAAATCCGGGGCTTGCCGAGGATTTTTTTCCACTTTTATCAACGAGTGTTGATATATTTGATATCAAAAGACACGAGGGTGAGATTTTATTTATCATCCAACATCATTATTCCAACTTTTTTTCAGTTTGTAGAAAGTAATAAGCAGTGTCTTAAGTGTAAAATATACTGCTAACAGCTTCAGTAGCAGAGCCATTAGTGATGTCATTTGATTGTGACGTCATGGTAACCAATGACGTCACAATGGTCTGCAAAGCATTGTGATGCAATTTCATTGCAGCGATATCTACAGTAAAGATATCGCTTGATCTTACCCAAGCGATTTCTCCTGTGGGAGCCAGTTTTGGATGATAAACAACAAACATACACACAACAAAACATACTAGCCATGTTTCCAGTGCAAACATATCGACTGAGCAGAACTACGCGTACTTCTGTCCAGACAAGGTCACGCCAGGTCACTTTAATGCCAGTCCAAAATTCAATTTTCTTTAGTTTGATCTTGAAAAACATCAATAACAAGTCTCAGACCACCCGTATTGATCTAATTAAAAATCATTAAGTTTGATAAAAATCGGTTCAAAAAGGTTATCAATATGAGACATTTTCGTAATCGCGTTGATACAAAAATGAACTTCGGATAATACCCAGAGCTTCCAAACACTGGACGTCGAGAGTGGTACCAGTATGTAGATGTACAGTAAACTACGGTTATAACGAACTCAAAGGGACCACTAATTTAAGTTCGTAATAGCCGTAGTTCGTTATAAGCATATATACAGCATATACACATCAAATGGCCGGGACTAAAAAACAGACGCTATATCCATCAGTTCGTTATAAGCGTGTTCGTTATAAACGTAGTCTACTGTAATATATATTGTTCAAACAGTTAAAAGTTGCTATCGTTAATCTATCAGGCACATCAGGCATTAACTACAGTAAACTACGGTTATAACGAACACGCTTATAACGAACTGACTGATATAACGAACTTCCTTTTTTGGTCCCGACTATTTGCTGTAGTTATGCTGTATATATGCTTATAACGAACTACGGTTATAACGAACTAAAATTGGAGTCCCTTTGAGTTCGTTATAACCGTACTTTACTGTATTGTAATGTGAAAGAATCGGGTGCTATTATACTCCCTTTGAGTAGTACGTACGAGTATGAAACAACTGTTAATAACAAATTAAAAATAACAATCAAGTATTTTGAAAATGACCTGTTGACAAATTGAATGAAAAACAGTCGTTAGGAAATTAGGGATGAGTAATGTTTTTCGACTCAGAATCGGATATAATCTACTTTATGTATCGTGAGTCATGAACCTTCAATCTGAATAAAAACGTTATTTCTGATTCGCTAAATTAGTACCTGCGGTATCCATGTTGATAGTACACTGCTGCCAGATACCCCCACGGATATGTGTGGCGCCACGCCCACTCCCGGGGGCACAGAGGGCGCGGCTGTAATCGTCTCCTTTATCAGTCTGCAGCACCGTCGGCAGTCTCACAAACTCCAGCCTCGCCGACAATACAACCAGCAACATCTGTGCGACGCAGGCAAGACTGTACTGCAAAGGAAAGCCACGCATGATGACAGCTGAAACTGGAAGCTTGCGTCATTTCACAACGGGGCCTTGATACAGATGGTATTCAACAATAGGACCGTGTAGACCAAGGCATTCAGCAGAGAGACTTATAACACAGGCAACCCCCTAAAGTGAGGTATTGTAAAAGGCATTCGATGACAGCACTTTGACCCAGGCGGTATTACACAAACTGGGCTTCTACCAGATGGCATTCTATAATAGTCAAGTGAAATGTGAGTTTCAAACCTAGGGCATTGAAATGCGACATTGAACGCAAGAACATTGTTAAATAGGTCATATAACGCGAGAGCATTGTGAAATATGGAGTTCAACAATAGAGCCTTGTAAAATTTGACTTTGAAACCCAGAGCCCCGTGTAATGGAACATTCAAGGCTAGAGCCCCGTTTAATGGAACATTCAACAATAACCTTGTGAAATGTGACATTGAAACCCAGAGCCTTGTCAAACGTGGCATTCTACACTAGGACCTTGTGACGGGCGCCATTCAACACCGGGACCTTGTGATAGGGTCATGTAACGGAAGACATTCAACGCCAGGACCTTGTGATAGGGTCATGTAACGGAAGACATTCAACGCCAGGACCTTGTGATAGGTTCATGTAACGGAAGACATTCAAAGCCAGGGCCTTGCGACGGGCGCCATTCAACACCAGGACCTTGTGATAGGGTCATGTAACGGAAGACATTCAACACTATGACCTTGTGACGGGCGCCATTCAACACCAGGACCTTGTGATAGGGTCATGTAACGTAAGACATTCAACACTAGAAGCTTGTGACGGGCGCCATTCAATACCAGGACCTTGTGATAGGGTCATGTAACGGAAGACATTCAACACTAGGACCTTGTGACGGGCGCCATTCAACACTAGGACCTTGTGACGGGCGACTTTCAACACCAGGACCTTGTGATAGGGTCATGTAACGGAAGACATTCAACACTATGACCTTGTGACGGGCGACTTTCAAAACTAGGTCCTTGTGGCGGGCGACACTAAGACCTTGTGATAAGATTCTGCACCAGGTGACATTCAACACATTGGCAAAGTAACTGTTTTGAGGGACAGCGCCTCCCACATCCAGTCTCAGTACAAGGGGATCCAGGCAACTGTTGGCAACTTGGCCCGCAGGGAGGTGACAGACCGGGGATTACAGAACATCCAGTGCTATCACGCATCCTGGTGGCTGCCTCTTTACGTGTCTACACCTACACGGATGTGATCTGACGATGGCGCAGGACGGATGTTAATCCGTCTTCGTGAAAGGTGCATCACAGTCAGACAAATAAGGTAGCATGTCCTGACAACGGTGGATTGAAAAATGATGAACATATCAGAGGATGAGACGGGTAACCACTAGGGACACTCCCTTGAGGATATGCCTGGAAGCGTTATCTCTCGAACCAATGCATCCAACATGAAACGGAAAGGGGATTCAGACCTCCATTCCCAGGATGGTAATTCTTCAGCAGGTGCTCGTGGTGCGACTCCTGGAAACTTACAAGGACAGTCTGACAACACGGAGGGGAATTCCTCTGGGGTACATGCAACTTGTGTTTCAAGCACCCGGGCCCCTGACTTCGTGGCCCCGGATGGGGGTTGGGGCTGGGTGGTGTGTGCCACGTGTTTCTGGGTGAACGGCAGCGTCATGGGTACCGTCAACACCTTCGGCATCCTCTACAACCACATGAGGGAGCTGAATGCCCCCGGGGATGAGGGCGTGTCTCTCAAGACTTGTAAGTACCTATTTCATTCACTGAAACTTTCATCATGTAACGAGCGGTCGGGTAGCCTAGTAGTTTAAAGGTTCGCTCGTCACGCTAAAGACCCGGTTTCGATTCCCGACATGGGTACAATGTGTGAAGCCCATTTCTGGTGTCCCCCGCCGTGATATTGCTGGAATATTGCTAAAATGGGCGTAAAAACATACTCACTCACAGCTTCACGAAGCCTACTACATCACTGGTCCCTGTGTTCTGTGTAATGTGTCATGCTTTCTTGGGCTTGACGTCATCGAACTGTGGGTACTTCAAGATAATGTGCTCATGTTCCTTATTATGTTTTACAGCGATAGTAACTAGGGCTGGGACGAGTCCAAATTTACTACCCCGACTCCTATTACCCGACCCTACCCGGGTACCCACTGGAGGTCTCAGGAGATGTCTCAAATTGACCGATTAGGAACATTTTTAGCATAGCCCTGGCAAAACGTATTTAGATACATGCATTAAACAATCTGGTCATTCATACACTTAAGTTGAATATAATTATATCTTTATTCAACCATATGAAAAATCAGAAGGAATGGGTGCATAGTCAGAAAGAAATACGAACATTAGTGACTTATAGTGTAACCAGAGTTCTAGATAATTTTTGTCATTAAACAATATATCACGTGACTAACCACGGGTCCGGGTAGTCCTGTGGGCACCCGGGTCCTACTCAGTATCCACCCGACCCGCGTACCCGAGTTACCCGTCCCAGCCCTAAGGGATACGTCATTAGTTTATGTAAAATCATGACACAGTCGTCAGAGATCGGAGATTTTATTTTACTAGTTTATGCATTTAACATGTCTGTTTCAACTTTGATAAATTTATGGGAACAGGGCGAAACATGCACCCGGTGCAGGTGAAATCAAATGCCTTGAATCGAGCCCCGTGCAAGCTCTGCTTTGTACATGAGGATATGAAGTCCCCTTTTCAGTCTGTGTGACAGGCAGGGGATGCCACGAATTTATTCTCCCCCGGAATTCCCACATGCCCCGAGTCCCCGAGTCAGAGTATCGTGATGTGTCAGTACCATGCTAGCTAACATACGTCATCTGAACTTTCCGTCCACTTTCAACTTGAAATACGACATACTTTGTAGTTAAACACATTCCCATGCAATAACGCACTCACGCACTTGCTAGCTTATCCACGCACACGACCACTCATCCACGCACACGACCACTCACTCAAACACCAACGCTCTCACCTACGCACTCGACCATGCATTCAACCACGCTCTCAACCACGTATTCAATCACGCATTCAGCCACGCATTCAACCACACACTCAAGCACGCACTCAAGCACGCATTCAACCACGCACTCAAACACGCATTCACCCACGGAATCAATCTAGCACTCAACCACGCATTCAATCAAGCACTCAATCACGCACTCAGCCACGCATTCAATCAAGCACTCAATCACGCACTCAAACACGCACTCTCACTGATGTACAAATATGGGGAAATTCCGGTTTCGTCAGCTCCCAGTAAACAGAGTAGGTGAGAATTATAACGCAGAGAATAAAGTGGAAACAAATCCATCACTTTAGTTGTAGCATCCATTTACTGTGTGCGTCTTGAACGTCTAGTCAACACGTCCTTTTCTTAAGTTTACTCTGATTGGTAAAAGTGGTACGTATTTCATTGTTTTCCCACCTGCCAATCCTGTTCACAAAGCAATATCTTGAAAACAGTAAACATATAGCCAGTCAAAAGGTTACAGGGTGCGACATTGTACATGCAAAACGCAGTACCTATTTATGGCATGTGAACGCACGCTCGAGATAAGATTCACAAACATTTTTTTTTGTTCTGGGATTGAAATAAATATTTTCAGTTTATGATTACCCTATATACGCCGATAACGGAAACAGACGTACATGAGTCACCAGATGAGAATTTATTAATCATTTTATAAAGTTAACTCTTTCAATGATTTTTTTAATATCATATTGAAGTACTCATACATTTATCTTCGTCCCTATACAATATAAAAGATGTGTGTCTTTTTGTCAAATGTTTGTCCGATCGAGTCACGTGACCAACTGATATTTGAGTGAAACGTACAACAAACGTCACGTGCTTCATGTCACGAGTGAAATGTCATTTTATTCCAGGTCAAGAGATGTTATAAACAGGTTATTTGACAGGAAGACAAATGTTCTATTTATCATGTATGTACCTTACTGGTCGTTATGCTCCGATAACAATAGCAGAATTGAGATAGACTGAAAGAAGTAATAAAGTGTCAAAATCGGTTTTTTTATTTTCAGGTAAATATAGCTCTTCATCACTAATACAATAATACGTTTATAACGAACACGCTTATAACGGACTGACGGATATAACGCACTGTTCTTTTGGTCCCTTACTTACTTTGGAGATTTAACGCGCGCTTTCCGACTGATGCGTATTTCGCACACGGGCCCGGCCAGGCCGTTTAATGTGTTTCCGAAAGGGGCGAAAGTGGTCTGTGCAACCCAAGAGGGGGGTTTTAGGGGTTGCTTATATAGAATTTGGGAATTTTGAGATTTGGAATAGATGCCGATGGGATTGAGGAGGAGAACTAAGGGAGCTGGGTATGGTGGATCTTCGTTTGTTTATGTGATTTTGATTTGGTAGGTTATTGTGTTATTAGATGCGTTTTATTAGTTCCGTTTTTATTAAGAATACGCCTAAGGCCTTGAAGTTTTCTAGTTTATTTTGTGGGTTTAGTATTGCTTCTAGAGTTAGAGCCTTGTTTAGATTGAGGGTGGTTTGTAATGCGGTTCGATGTGTTAGGTAGTGTGTGCAGTGGATGAGTGCGTGTTCTGGGGTTTCTGGTTGTTTGCAGTGTGGGCAGTTGGATGTAGTGTGTTTTTTAAAAAGATTTAGGTGGTTATTTAGGTTGGTGTGTCCTGTTTGGAGTTTAGTGATTACTCTGTCGATTTTTTTGGATGGATGGAGAATTTTTGGTTTGGTTAGTGGTTTGCTGAGCACTTTTTTGATTTGGCTATTTGAGTTTAGATATAGGTTATGCCATTTTTTTGTGATTTTTTGCTTGTTTACACCCCTAATTTCTGATTTTGAGATTGGTAAGTTTAAGCTTATTTCTGGGATTTTGAGGGATAGTTTAGCTGCTTTATCGGCGTTTTCATTACCGTATATTCCTACGTGGGCGGGTATCCACAAGAAGGTTATTTGTTTGCCTGCCTTAGTTAGGTCGTTGGAGCTTTTAAGTATTTGATTTATTAATTTAGGTCGGTTTTTGGTATTTTTGTTTTGGAGGGCTTGCAGTCCACTTAGGGAGTCGGTAAGTATTAGGATTTTTTTTGTGGTTTTTGGATTCTTGATTATGGAGGGCTGAGGCCATGCCCATTAGTTCTGCCGTGAATATTGATTGGTTGTTTGGGAGTCGGGAGGATTTTTGGCCCCGTCCATTTTTGGTCCCGTCCATTTTTGGTCCCGTCCATTTGCAATATATATATATCAAGTTGATGGATATAACGAACACGCTCATAACGAAATTATTGATATAGCGAACTCACCTAGTGGTCCCGTGTGTTCTCTGTCAATGATAATGTTTAAGTGTATAACTCACCGTTAATCCCTGAGCTGAGCTCATCACGTGACACCAATCAGCCTATCAAAACATCCATGGCCAAGCGCCTCTGTTCAAAGCGTCAATAAACAATTGTCCTCAAACTACACCCTCAATTAACAAATAGTAACACAGTGATTGAAGTGGATATATTCTGTACATGTACACTGCACACTTTAATTTTGTTATTCATCGAGTAACATGATGTCACATGACTTGATCAAAGATGTCTGACGGTCGAAATACGTATAACGAAAGACGGATATGACAAACTACAATTAGTGGTCCTTTTGAGTTCGTTATAACCGTAGTTTACTTTGTGATCTAAACCAGAAATAAAACCAAGAAAGAGCAAAAACTTTTTAAATCTTTCTAAAGGATGAATGGAAGAAATTAAATATACACGATGCTTGCGGTGAAACACTAGGCATTTTCAACCTTTGTTTCGAGTGAGAACTTATCCAGTATAGATTAGTGAGAATTCATTATACCGAAATACCATTACACAGTTTGAAGAAAGATCAAATTAATGTACATGTTATTTTATATGCAGTAAACTACGGTTATAACGAACATGCTTATAACGAACTGACGGATATAACGAACTTACTTTTTTGGTCCCGACTATTTGCTGTAGTTATGCTGTATATATGCTTATAACGAACTACGGTTATAACGAACTAAAATTAGCAGTCCCTTTAAGTTCGTTATAACCGTAGTTTACTGTGATAAGCGGATATGTTCCTCGAGTACTACACTATTTAAGAGTGAGTGAATATGGTTTTACGCCGTTTTAAAGCAATATTCCAGCAATATCCCGGCGGGGGACACCAGAAATGGGCTTCACACATTGTACCCATGTTGGGAATTGAACCCGGGTCTTCGGCGTGACGAGCGAACGCTTAAACCACTAGGCTACCAGACCGCCCCTATTGTTTAAGAAATACATGTAAACGACTCGTGGTCGTTGTTTATCGTACACTAAAGCACTGCAGGGAGAAAAATCCACGAGGGGGGCAGTTTATTCTCCCTGTAGTGTTTTATTGTACGATAAACAACGACCACGAGTCCTTTGATCTTATATGTGATATCAAAATTATGTACAGCCTCTTTAAGGATACTTGAGTTGACGACGGTGTATTGTTGAATGACTGACAGTCAACTTTTCATTGTTGAAACATCACGGAGTATTGAAACAATACAGTGGCGTCATAGGTGTATTAAAGGTCACCGAAAATCTGTCAGCTTGAAGACGGCACGGTTAGGAATATGTACATACACTTCAACGTGGACGTCTGAGACGCTGGGTACAACGTGTGAAGCCCATTTGTGGTGTTCCCCGTCGTGATGCTGCTTGACTGAGTATATCACGGCTGGGGA